CGTCTTGGGTTACCTTAACGCAGAAAGGTCATTCTTTTAAATATTTAAGACAGCTCCACTCTCTGCGGCAGCGATTGGTTTTCTAATGCTGTCCAAAGGGATTTCTTCTATGCATAGTCTGGGATCTCGCACAGGATTGCAATGTCTCCAAGATCAGGAAAACCTTTTGCACCACGGCATGATGATTCGGCAATGATATCGTCGAGAGGAAAACGGGCCCTTCAAACGACAGGCGAAAAATGCATTGTTTGGAGTCTTTGACACTGACCAAATCATGCTGGTTCAATGGGGTCGATCTCTGCAGCTCTCCAGGAGAACCCTCCATGTCGGGTGTTATGACTGAAGGGTCAAAGAGCTGAAGAAGCAAAAGGAAACATGTGGCATAAATGAAAAGATGGATGACTGGGTGGATTGCTAGAAAGGTGGAGAGAGAGAGAGAGGATGTCTGCTGGTTAGATAGTTAGATAGGAAGGAAAGATAGGATAGATGGTAGATGGCTAGATAGATAAATAAGATAAATAAATAATAGATGGATAAGTAGATAGATAGATAGATAGACAGACAGACAGACAGACAGACAGACGGATTGGATGGAAAGAAAGATGGATAGACGGTGGCTATATGGATGGAAACATAGTAAAGATGATGGATGGATGGATACATACATAGATGATAGGAACGATTATAGATAGATAATGGATGGATAGATAGGAAAGATAATAGATGGATGGATAGATAGATGGATGGAGAGAAAAGATAATAGATGGATAGACGGATGGATAGATGATGGATAGATAGAAAAGATAATGGATAGATGGATGAATAGACGGATGGATGGATAGATGAGTGGATAGATAGAAAAGATAATAGATGGATAGATGGACGGACGGATGGATGGATGGATGACAGATGGATAGATAGAAAAGATAATGGATAGATGGATGAATTGATGGATAAATGACGGATGGATAGAAAAGATAATAGATGGATAGATGGGTGGATAGATGATGGATGGATAGATAGAAAAGATAATGGATAGACGGATGGATAGATGGATGGATAGAAAAGATAATAGATGGATAGGTGACGGATGGATAGATAGAAAAGATAATGGATAGATGGATGAATTGATGCATAGATGACAGATGGATAGAAAAGATAATAGATGGATGGACAGATGGGTGGATGGATAGATGGATGGATAGATGATGGATGGATAGATAGAAAAGATAATAGATGGATAGACGGATGGATAGATGACGGATGGATAGATAAAAAAGATAGTAGATGGATAGATGGATGGATAGATAGATAGACGGATGGATGGATAGATAGATGGATGGACAGATAGAAAAGAAAATAGATGGATAGATGGATGGATGGGTGTACAGATAGATAAGATAGATAGATAGATAGATAGATAGATAGATAGATAGATAGATAGATAGATAGATAGATAGATAGATAGATGGATAGATGGATGGGTGTACAGATAGATAAGATAGACAGAAAGATGGCTAGATAGATATATAGATGGATAGATAGATACAACTTCAGAGGTCTCTGTCCCAGATGCCAGGAGGAGTCAGTTAATCACTTAAGACCATTAGAGCGACTAACGAAACGGAAATATTTAAAGATTACGGCAAGGCGTTCTGACTTCCGCCTCCTTCATCTGCTCGGAAGAGAAGGAAGCAGCTGAGAGCAACCTTTTTCTGTGCAGACAGAAAATACTGCCAAACCACCCTTACTATGATTATTAATATAACAATATAATATACTATTATTAATCCTATATTAAAATAATATATAATAATTATTAATATAATAATATATTATTAATCATAATCATATAATAATATAATCTATCATCATTGGTGTGATTATTAATATAATTATATAATTTATTATTAATATAATAATAATAATATAATCATAAAAACACAACACTCTATAAATAATCACAAATAAATAGTAAATTAAAACATGAATAAAATATAACATAATCATGAAAACACAACACTATAAATAATCATAAATAAACAGTCAATTAAAAAATTGAATAAAATAGACCCCACAGGGAAGATGGACGGTCAGGCCTCATAAAATACATAAGCAGTAAATACTATTTAAATATATTAAAATATGAATAATATGAGATAAATATAATAAAATAGGAATATATTTAAATTTAAATATAAGATATAAATATATTAAAATATGAATGTTATATAAAATACATAAGCAGTAAATACTATTTAAATATGAGATATAAATATATTAAAATATGAATATATTTAAATATGAGATATAAATATATTAAAATATGAATAATATTAGATATAAATATATTAAAATATGAATAATATTAGATATAAATATATTAAAATATGAATAATATGAGACATAAATATAATTAAATATGAGTATATTTAAATTTAAATATGAGATATAAATATATTTATATCTCATATTTAAATTTAATATATAAATATATTTAATATATATTTAAATTTAATATATATATATATAAAGATATAAATATATATGAAATACATAAGCAGTAAATACTATTTAAATATGAGATATAAATATATTAAAATATGAATAAGTTATATAAAAAACATAAGCAGTAAATACTATTTAAATATGAGATATAGATATATTAAAATATGAATATATTTAATTTTAAATATGAGATATAAATATATTAAAATATGAGTAATATGAGACATAAATATAAAATATGAATCTATTTAAATTTAAATATGAGATATAAATATATTAAAATATGAATGTTATATAAAATACATAAGCAGTAAATACTATTTACATATGAGATATAAATATATTAAAATATGAATATATATATTTAATTTTAATATGAAATATAAATATTAATAAGTTATATTCATATTAATAAATTATTATTATTGATGTGATGATGTGGGCAGCCACCACCTCTCTTTGGGCCATGCAGGATGATGGGACTTACAATCCAAACTCATTGGGATCACTGGCTGGGGAGGGATGCTGGGAGTTGTAGTCCCAAAACAAGAGGGCTTCCCAATGCATGGTGTGGGTGGAGGAGGCTGGAGGAAGCCAAGGCTACAAAGAAAGCAAAGAGTAGCCAAGAGTTCCCTCTTTCCAAAGGGGAAGATACTACAGCTAGTTGCAGGGGCTGCTTTTGTTGGGACGTCTCCTTTAAATCCGGGACAGACACGTGAGCCGGTTCTTTGCCGCCTGAGGCAGGCAGACAGCAAGACAAGGCAGCTCTCCTGCAGAGAGAGGCCTTCCCCTCCTCTCCAGCTCCAGAAAGAAAGAAAGAAAGAAAGAAGGAGAAAGGAAGAAAGGGAGGAAGAAAGGAACCGAGAGAGAGAGAGCTTCAAAGCGCATTGCAGCAGCCCAGCTCTCCTTCCTTCCTCCCTCCCTCCCTTCCTTTCCTCCATCCCTCCTTTCCTCCCCACTCTCCTTCTCCTCCCTTTCTTTTGTCTTCCTTTTTTTGTTCCCTTCTTTCTTTCTCTTTCTTTCCTCCCTCCTCTTTTTCACCTTCCTTCTCTTCATTCTTTCCTTCCTTCCTCCTCTGTCTCTCCTCTCCTTTTCTCCCTTTCTCTCTACTTACCATCCTTCCTTCCTTCCATCCTTCTTTCCTTTATCTCTCCCCTCCTTTACTCTCTTCCTCTCCACTTTCCTTCCTTCTTTCCTTCCTTTTCTGTCTCTCCTCTCCTTTTCTCCCTTTCTCTCTACGTACCATCCTTCCTTCCTTCCTTCCTTCCTTCTTCTGTCTTTCCCCTCCTTTACTCTCTTCCTCTCCACTTTCCTTCCTTCTTTCCTTCCTTTTCTGTCTCTCCTCTCCTTTTCTCCCTTTCTCTCTACGTACCATCCTTCCTTCCTTCCTTCCTTCTCTTCCTTCTTCTGTCTTTCCTTCCTTCTTTCCTTCTCCTCTTCCTCCCTCCTTTTTCTCTTCCTTTCCACCTTCCTTCCTTCTCTCCTTCCTTCTTCTATCTCTCCCCTCCTTTATTCCCTTTCTCTCCACTTTCCTTCCTTCTCTTCCTTCTTTCTCTTTCCCTTCTTTCCAGGCTCCCACAATTGGCCATTTAGTCCATTTGCACCTTTTCTCAGCCTTCCCTTTCACTTTCCTTCCTTCTTTCTTTCCTTCCTTTCTTTCTCTCTGTCTCTCCCCTCCTTTTCTCCCTTTCTCTCCACTTACCTTCCTCCCTTCCCTCTTTCCTTCTCCTCTATCTCTCCCCTCCTCTCTTCCTCTCCACTTTCCTTCCTTCTTCTTTCTCCTTCCTCTTCTGTCTCTCCCTCCTTTTCTCCCTTTCCACTTACCTTCCTTCCTTCTTTCTTCTTCCTCTTCTTTCTTCCCTCCTTCTCCCTCTTCCTCTCCTTCCTTCCTTCCTCCTTCCTTCCTCCTCTTCTCTCCCCTCCTTTTTCTTTCCTCTCCACTTTCCTTCCTTCTCCTTCCTTCCTTCCTCTCTCCTCCCTCCTTTCTCCTTCCTCTCCACTTCCTTCCTCCTTCCTTCCTCCCTCCTCTATTTCTCCCCTCCTTTACTTCCTTCCTCTCCACTTTCCTTCCTTCTTTCCTTCCTTCCTCCCCTGTCTCCTCCTTTACTCCTTCTCCTCCTTTCCTTCCTTCTCTTCCTTTCTTTCCCTTTTTCCTTTCTTCCCTCCTTCCTTCCTCTTTTCCTCCCCCCTCCTTTCTCCTTCCTCTCCTTCTCTTCTTTCTCCCTTCCCTTTCTTCCTTTCCCTTCCTTTTTCTTTCCTTTTCTTCTCCCTTCCCTTCTCCTTCCTCCCTTCCTTCCTTCCTTCCTTCCTCCCTTCCTTCCTTCCTTCCTTCCTTCCTTCCTCTCTCTCTTTCTCCCTCTTCTCTCTTTCCCTTCCTTCCTTCCTTCCTTTCTTTCTTTCCTTCCTTTCCTTTTCCTCCTCTTCCTCTCTCTCCTTTTTTCCTTCCCTCCTTCCTCTTGTCCTTTTCCTCCTTCTCTCTTTCCTTTCCTCCCTCCCCCTACTTCTTCTGTCTTTCTTTTCTTTTCCTTCCCTTTCTCCTTCCTTCCTTCTTTCCTTTCTCATCTCACATCTTCTTTACTCCCTTTCCATTTCCAATTGCACTTTCCTTTCCTTTCCTCCTCTTCCTCCCTCTCCTTCTTCCCTCCCCTCCTTCCTCTGTGTCCTTTCTCCTTCTCTCTTTCCCTTTCTTCCCATCCTTCTTCAGTCTTTCCCCTCTTTCCTTTTCCATCCTTTTTCCATCCTTCTCTTTCCTCCTTTCTTGGAAGGCAGGCTTTTCCCAGTGCAGCATCCAATTGCGCCCTGCCTCCTCCTTCTCCTCCTCTTTCCCTTTCTCCTCCTCCTTTGCCCCCTTTTCTCCTCCCTCTCCTCCTCTTTCTCCTTCCCTCCTTCTCCTCCCTTTCCTAAGCCATTCCCCCTTTTATTATGATTCATTTTTTGGCTCACCTTGCACCAAAATAAAGCCTCTCGCTTCTTGTTTTCTTGGAGACGCTGGGGACAACTTTTACGCACAGGGAGGAGAGCTCTCCTTCTCTCCTTCTTCCAAAGCCTTCTCCCATCCCTCCTTTCTCCTTCTCCTTTCTCCCATCCCTCCTTTCTCTTTTTCTTTTATGGGGCGCCTCAAGGCAACATGCTTTCCATGTCCAAACACTCCTTCAAAATCAAGCAGCCTTGCCAAGATCCTGGGGTAAGTTTTGGGGATATTTTGGGGAGGATTTGGATTGTTTACTTCTTGCCATTTTGGATTGTTTACTTGTCATTTTGGATTGTTTACATCTTGTCATTTTGGTGTCAAAGAGGAAATATTTCCCTTCTTTTTTGGGGTGTAGTTTCCTCCAAATCCCCAATTTCTATGGGTTACAAAAAGGCAAAAGAAGGGACAGATTTTGGGAGGGAAATAGGTCTCCAAACTGCAAAGTTTGGACAATTTGTGGGGTGTCTAGTTTCCTTCCTTCCTCCTCTACTTTTGAGGTGTCTAGTTTGGGCAACTTGTGGGGTGTCTATTTGGGACACTTGTAGGGTGTCTAGTTTGGGCAACTTGTGGGTGTCTAGTTTGGGCAACTTGTGGGGTGTCTAGTTTGGGCAATTTGTGGGGTGTCTAGTTTGGCAAACTTGTGGGTGTCTAGTTTGGGCAATTTATGGGGTGTCTAGTTTGGGCAACTTGAGGGGTGTCTAGTTTGGGCAATTTGTGGGGTGTCTAGTTTGGGCAACTTGTGGGATGTCTAGTTTGACCAACTTGTGGGGTGTCTAGTTTGGGCAATTTGTGGGGTGTCTAGTTTGGGCAACTTGTGGGGTGTCTAGTTTGGGCAATTTGTGGGGTGTCTAGTTTGGGCAACTTGTGGGGTTTCTAGTTTGGGCAACTTGTGGGGTGTCTAGTTTGGGCAACTTGTGGGGTGTCTAGTTTGGGCAATTTGTGGGGTGTCTAGTTTGGGCAACTTGTGGGGTGTCTAGTTTGGGCAATTTGTGGGGTGTCTAGTTTGGGCAACTTGTGGGTGTCTAGTTTGACCAACTTGTGGGGTGTCTCGTTTGGGCAATTTGTGGGGTGTCTAGTTTGGGAGACTTATGGGGTGTCTAGTTTGGGCAATTTGTGGGGTGTCCAGTTTGGGCAACTTGTGGGGTGTCTATTTTGGGCAATTTGAGGGATGTCTAGTTTGGGCAAATTGTGGGGTGTCTAGTTTGGGCAACTTGTGGGGTGTCTATTTTGGGCAATTGGTGGGGTGTCTAGTTTGGGCAATTTGTGGTGTGTAGTTTGGGCAATGTGTGGGGTGTCTAGTTTAAGCAATTGGTGGGGTGTCTGGTTTGGGCAATTTGTGGGGTGTCTAGTTTGGGCAATTTGTGGGTGTCTAGTTTGGGACACTTGTGGAGTGTCTAGTTTGGGCAATTTGTGGGGTTTCTAGTTTGGGCAACTTGTGGGGTGTCTAGTTTGGGCAACTTGTGGGGTGTCTAGTTTGGGCAATTTGTGGGGTGTCTAGTTTGGGCAACTTGTGGGGTGTCTAGTTTGGGCAATTTGTGGGGTGTCTGGGCAATTTGTGGGGTGTCTAGTTTGGGCAACTTGTGGCGTGTCTAGTTTGGGCAATTTGTGGGGTGTCTAGTTTACAATAACAAGAATAATATAATAATTATCTATACTTTAATTATTATATAATAATATGACAATATAATAATGTAAAATATTGATGATAATATAATTAGAATGCAATAAGACAATATCAATAATACAATAACAATATGTACTTTAATTATAATATAATAATATGATAATATAATAATATAAAATATTGATGATAATATAATTAGAATGCAATAATATACCATCAATATTACAATAATGATAATATATAATTTAATTGAAATATAATAATATGAAAATATAATAATAATAATAATATGAGGATATAAAGATCAAACTGCAAAGATGGTCCCAGTGGTGATCGGCACACTGGGTGCAGTGCCTCAAGACCATGGCCTGCACTTGAAAACAATTGGAAAAGCTGACACGATATGAGGATTTAAAGATCGAACTGCAAAGGCTCTGGCGCAAGCCATTCAAGGTGGTCCCAGTGGTGATCGGCACACTGGGTGCAGTGCCTCAAGACCTTGGCCTGCACTTAAAAACAACTGGAAAAGCTGACACGATATGAGGATTTAAAGATCGAACTGCAAAGACTCTGGCACAAGCCAGTCAAGGTGGTCCCAGTGGGGATCGGCACACTGGGTGCACTGCCTCAAGACCATGGCCTGCACTTAAACACAATTGGAAAAGCTGACACGATATGAGGATTGAAAGATCGAACTGCAAAGACTCTGACACAAGCCAGGCAAGGTGGTCCCAGTGGTGATCGGCACACTGGGTGCAGTGCCTCAAGACCTTGGCCTGCACTTAAAAACAATTGGAAAAGCTGACACGATATGAGGATTTAAAGATCGAACTGGCACTTTGTGGAAACCCTGGCCGGCTTGATTATACGGTTCCCGTAAACGAATGCGATGAAAAATGCATGACTCGGAGGGAGACACGGTGATGCATGTGCTCCCAGGACTAGACAGTCGAGAACCGCTTCCAGGGAGGGAACCCGCCTTCCTGCCCATCTGCTTTCGTTCTAAAATAGGTCAGGCACATCTGGGAAACTACGCAGCCCGAGAAAGGAATCGCATTCGCGTTGTGTATTGCTTTGAGTTGGATGTTAGGTCCTAGATTTATAGTTCGCCTACAACCAAAGAGCATTCTGAACTCCACCAATGATGGAATTCAGCCAAACTTGGCAAACAGAACTCACATAGCCAAGAGAAAATACTGGAAGGGTTTACTGGGCGTTGACCTTGAGTTTGGGAGTTGTAGTTCACCTACATCCAGAGAGCACTGTGGACTCAAACAATGATGGATCTGGACCAAACTTGGCATGGATACTCAAAATGCCCAAATGTGAACACTGGTGGAATCTGAGGAAAATAGACCTTGATGTCTGAGAGTTGTAGTTGCTGGGATTTATAGTTCACCTACAATCAAACAGCATTCTGAACTCCACCAACGATGGAATTGAACCAAACTTGGCAAGCAGAACTCTCATAGCCAAGAGAAAATACTGGAAGGGTTTACTGGGCATTGATCTTGAGTTTGGGAGTTGTAGTTCACCTACATCCAGGGAGCACTGCGGACCAATGATGCACTCCACCAATGACATCCAGAAAGCACTCCAGCAATGATGAAATTGGACCAAACTTGGCAAACAGAACTCCCATGACCAACATCAAATACTGGAAGGATTTAGTGGGCATTGAACCTTGCTTTTAGGAGTTGTAGTTCACTTACACCTAGAGAGCAGTGTGGACTCAAACAATGATGGATCTGGACCAAACTTGGCACGGATACTCAATATGTCCAAATGCGAACATTGGTGGAGTTTGGAGGAAAATAGACCTTGACATTTGGGAGTTGTAGTTGCTGGGATTTATAGTTCACCTACAACCAAAGAGCATTCTGAACTCCACCAACGATGAAATTGAACTAAACTTGGCACACAGAACTCCCATGACCAACATCAAATACTAGAAGGGTTTACTGGGCATTGACCTTGAGTTTGGGACTTGTAGTTCACTCACATCCAGAGAGCACTGTGGACCAATGATGCACTCCACCAGTGACATCCAGAGAGCACTTCAACAATGATGGAATTGGACCAAACTTGGCACACAGAACTCCCACGACCCACATCAAATACTGGAAGGGTTTACTGGGCATTGACCGTGAGTTTGGGATTTGTAGTTCACCTACATCCAGAGAGCACTGTGGACTCAAACAATGATGTATCTGGACCAAACTTGGCAGAAATACTCATTATGCCCAAATGTGAACACTAGTGGAGTTTGGGGGAAATAGAATCTTGACATTTGGGAGTTGTAGTTGCTGGGATTTATAGTTCACCTACAATCAATGAGCATTCTGAACTCCACCAACGACTGAATTGAACTAAACTTGGCAAACAGAACTCCCATAGTGAAAAGAAAATACTGGAAGGGTTTACTGGGCATTGATCTTGTGTTTGGGAGTTGTAGTTCACCTACATCCAGAGAGCACTGTGGACCAATAATGCACTCCAACAATGACATCCAGAGATTACTCCACCAATGATGGAATTGAACCACACTTGGCAAACAGAACTCCCATAACCAACAGAAAATACTGGAAGGATTTGGTGGGCATTGACCTTGAGTTTGGGAGTTGTAGTTCACCTATATCCAGAGAGCACTGTGGACTCAAACAATGATGGATCTGGACCAAACTTGGTACAAATATTCATTATGCCGAAATGTGAACACTGGTGGAGTTTGGGGGAAATAGATTGTGACGTTTGGGAGTTGTAGTTGCTGGGATTTATAGTTTGTCTACAACCAAAGAGCATTCCGAACTCCACCAATGATGGAATTGAACCAAACTTGGCAAACAGAACTCCCATAACCAACATTAAATACTGGAATGATTTAGTGGGCATTGACCTTGCGTTTGGGAGTTGTAGTTTACCTACATCAAGAGAGCACTGTGGACTCAAACAATGATATATCTGGTCCAAACTTGGCACAAACACTCAATATACCCAAATGTGAATACTGGTGGAGTTTGGGGAAAATAGATCTTGACATTTGGGAGTTGTAGTTGCTGGGATTTATAGTTCGCCTACAACTAAAGAGTATTCTGAACTTCACCAATGATGGAATTGAACCAAACTTGGCAAACAGAACTCCCATAGCCAAGAGAAAATACTGGAAGGGTTTACTTGAGTTTGGGAGTTGTAGTTCACTGACATCCAAGATCACTGTGGACTCAAACAATGATGGATCTGGACCAAACTTGGCGCAAATACTCAATATGCCCAAATGTGAACACTTGTGGAGTCTGGGGAAAATAGACCTTGACATTTGGGAGTTGTAGTTGCTGGGATTTATAGGCTTTTTTTAATTGAATCTCTATTATTTTTCTTTTCCGAAGCGGAGATAATTTTAGCCGAAAGGGGTGGGTGTTTCTTTTTTTCCACGGGACGTTCTGTCCTCGGAGGCAAAGGAGCCGGGCAAGGCTCCGATTAATGATTCACCAACTTTTCAAACAGAATTCCTTTCCCTTTTTTATTTTAAGACGGCAAGTTGGCAAAGTCCCACCGTGGCTTGACTTTTGTGTTGGATCCGGTAGCTAGGAAACCCTTTGCTTGGTTGGAACGTTTAGTTCCCAAATGCTTTCTTCCTACGGCCTGGTTTCTGAGAGTTCGGAGAGGTTCAAACATTATTATTATTATTATTATTATTATTATTATTATTATTATTATATGATTTTTAATAACAATAGGAGCCCCCATTGGCGCAGTGGGTTAAACCGCTGAGCTGCTGAACTTGCTGACTGAAAGGTTGACTGTTCGAATCCGGGGAGTGGGGTGAGTTCCTGCTGTTAGCCCCAGCTCCTGCCAAGCTAGCAGTTCAAAAACATGCAAATGTACTATTATTATTATTATTATATGATTTTTAAATAACAATAGGAGCCCCCATTGGTGCAGCAGTTTAAACCGGAGCTGCTGAACTTGCCGACCAAAAGGTTGGCGGTTCAAATCCGGGGAGTGGGGTGAGTTCCTGCTGTTAGCCCCAGCTCCTGCCAACCTAGCAGTTCAAAAACATGCAAATGTATTATTATTATTATTATTATATGATTTTTAATAATAATAATAATAGGAGCCCCCATTGGCGCAGTGGGTTAAACCGCTGAGCTGCTGAACTTGCTGACCGAAAGGTTGGCGGTTCGAATCCAGGGAGTGGGGTGAGTTCCTGCTGTTAGCCCCAGCTCCTGCCAAGCTAGCAGTTCAAAAACATGCAAATGTACTATTATTATTATTATTATATGATTTTTAAATAACAATAGGAGCCCCCATTGGTGCATTAAACCGCTGAGCTGCTGAACTTGCTGACCGAAAGGTTGGTGGTTTGAATCCGGGGAGCAGGGTGAGCTCCCGCTGTTAGCCCCAGCTCCTGCCAACCTAGCAGTTCGAAAACACGCAAATGTGAGTAGATCAATAGGTACAACTCATAGCGGCATCAAACTGCATCCATTTGACGGTGTAGATGTCCCTGCAGAGGTTCTTCTCCCGTTGACATTCCTCTCTTTTTTTGTGGACCATTCCTCGCATATTTTGAAAAGCCGTGTTTTCCAACTCGAAGCAGAAATATGCAACCAAAAGTATGCGCCCGGAGGAGCCAAATCTGAAAGTCGGAAGGAGATTATTCAAACAAAATTATAATATTGTTGTTGTTGTTGTTGTTTATTTACCCAGGGGCCAAACTCTCCCCTCTCTCACCATCCTATCCTTCCTTCCTTTCCCCTTTCCGTCCTCCTTCCCTCTCTCCTCCTTTCTCCTTCCATCCTTCCCTTCCTCCCTTTCTTCCTTCCTTCTCCCTTCCTTCCTTCCTCCCTCCTTCCCTCCCTCCCTCCCTCCCTTCCCTTCCCTTCTTCTCCCTTCCCTCTCTCCCTTTTCTCCTTCCTTTCTTCCTTTTTTTCCTTCCTTCTTCTCTTTCCTCCATCCCCTCCTCTTTCTCCCTCCCTTCCATTCCTTCCCACCCTTTCATCCTTCCTTCTTCCTTCCTTCCTTCCTTCCTTCCTTCCTTCCTTCCTTCCTTCCTTCCTTCCCTTCCTTCTTCTTTCCTCCATCTCTCCCTTTCTCCTTCCTTCCTTCCTTCCTTCCTTCCTTCCTTCCTTCCTTCCTTCCTTCCTTCCTTCCCTCCTTCCTTTTCCTCCTCCTTCCTTCTACCTTCTTCTTTCCTCCCTCTCTCCCTCTTTCTCCTTCCTTCCTCCTTTTCCTCTCTCTTCTCCCTTCTTTCCTTTCTCCTTCCTTCCTTCCTTCCTTCCATCTATCCTTCTCTTTCTTCCCTTTCTTCTTCCTCCTCTTTTTCCTTCCTTTTCCTTCCATCCATCCACCCTCCTTCTCTTCCTTCCTCCCTTCCTTCCCTCTCTCTTTCTTCTTCCTTCCCTCCTCCCTTCCCTCTCCTTCCTTCCTTCCTCCCTATTTTCTTCCTCCTTCCTTCCTTCCCTTTTTGCTTCCTTTCTTCTCTTTCCTCCATCCCCTCCTCTTTCTTCCTCCTAATTCCTTTCCACCCTTTCTCCTCTTCCTTCCCTTCCCTTCCTTCTTCCCTCCCTTCTTCCTTCCTTCCTTCCTTCCTTCCTTCCTTCCTTCCTTCCTTCCTTCCTTCCTTCCTTCCTTCCTTCCTCTCCTCCCTCCCTCCCTCCCTCCCTCCCTCCCTCCCTCCCTCCCTTCCTTCCTTCCTTCCTTCCTTCCTTCTTCTTCTTCTTTCCTCCTCTCTTTCTCTTTCCTTCCTCCTTCCCTTCTCTCCTCCCTTCTCTCTTCTCTCTTTCCTTCCTTCCTTCCTTTCCTCCTTCCTTCCTCCTTCCTTCCCTCCCTTCCTTTCTTCTCTCTTTCCTTCCTTCTTTCCTTCTATCCATCCTTCCCCTTCCACCCTTTCGTCCTTCTCTCCCTTTTGTTTTTCCTTCCTTCCCTCTCTTCCTCTTTCTCCTTCCATCCTTCACTTCCATCCTTTTGTCCTTCCTTCCTTCCTTCTTTTCTCTTTCCCTCTTTCTCCTTCCTTCCTTCCCTTTTGTCTTTCCTTCCTTTTCTCTTTCTTTCATCCTTCTTCCATCCATCCTTCTTTTCCCCCTTTCCTTCTTCCTCCTCTTTTCCTTCTCCTCCTTCCTTCCTTCCTTCCTTCTTTCCTTCCACCCATCCATCCATCCTTCCCCTTCCACTTTTTCATCCTTCTCTCCCTTTTGTTTTTCTTCCTTCCCTCTTTCCTCCTTCCTTCCCTCTCTCCCTCTTTCTCCTTCCATCCTTCCCTTCCACTCTTTTGTCCTTCCTTCCTTTCTCTTTCCCTCTTTCTCCTTCCTTCCTTCCTTCCTTCCTTCCTTCCTTCCTTCCTTCCTTCCTTCCTTCTCTTTTGTCTTTCCTTCCTTCTCTCTTTCCTTCATCCTTCCCTTCCTTCCTTCCTTCATTCCTTCCCTTCCACTCTTTTGTCCTTCCCTCCTTTCTCTTTCCCTCTTTCTCCTTCCTTCCTTCTCTCTTTTCTTCATCCCTTCCTTCCATCCTTCTCTTCCTTTCTTTCTTCCTCCTCTTTTCCTTCCTTCTCTCTTCCTTCCTTCCTTCCTTCCTTCCTTCCTTCCTTCCTTCCTTCCTTCCTTCCTCCATCCTACTGTGATGGATCCCCTCTCTGGTTCCCTTTCTTTTTTCCTTCCCCCTTTCCTCCCTCCTTCCCTCTCTCCCTCGTTCTCCTTCCATCCTTCCCTTCCTCCCTTTCGTCCTTCCTTCCTTCTCTCTTTCCTTCCTCCTTCCATCACTGGTCAGTCTGTCTTCCTATCATAATGGGATTTGCAGTTTGCTGAGGACTCTTTGGGCAGGGAAGACTAGGCCTTGCAAAGCGACAGATTCCATGGCATTGGGCTATCAAAGTTCAAGTGGCGCCAAACTGCATTAATTCAGAGGTGTAGATGCACCCAGTTTAAGAGGGGCCAAACGGCATTCCTTTGATGCTTTGCAACGATGCATTTTAAATGCATGTCCTGCACTTCCTGTATATTAACCCTTGTGTTTTAATATATGCAATACGTATTTTGCATAATGTTTGATGACGATGTGTTTTCAACCATGTTGGTAAATAATAATTATCATAATGATGTCCAGGGTGGGAGAAAGAACTCTTGTCCGTTTGAGGACAATCACCTTGATTAGCGTTTAATGGCCTTGCTTCAATCAGGGCCAGCTACCACCTCCCAACAAAGGATTCCCATAGGCAGGAAGCAGCCAAGCTTTGAAGCTGAAAGGCCATTCTAGGCTACTCAAGGTGGCCAAATGCAACATTCCCACTTGTCTCCGATAGACAAAGAGTTTCTTCTCCCACCCTGGGCATTAATGCACAGATATATCTAATATAATTATATATATTATAATTACATAGTTATATTACATGTAATATTACTAATAATATAAATGCTGTAAATAAATAAATATTTGAGGCAAGTGGGAGTGTTGCTTGATTAGCATCGAATGACCTTGCTTTCAGGCAGGACCCAATCAGGGCTGGCGAACACCTCCCAACAAAGGATTCCCATAGGCAGGAAGCAGCCAGGCTTTGAAGCTGAAAGGCCATTCTACGCCAATTGCGACATTCACGCTTGCCTCAAACAGATATGTCTGTGGAATAATGTCCAGGGTGGGAGAAAGATCTCTTGTCTGCTTGGCCGCCTTGATTAGCACTGAATGGCCTTGCAGCTTCAAAGCCTGGCTGCTTCCTGCCTACGGGAATCCTTTGTTGGGAAGTGGGTGGGAGAAAGAACTCTTGTCTGTTGGAGGCAAGTGTGAATGTTGCAAATGGCCACCTTGATTAGCATTGAAAGGCCTTGCAGCTTCAAAGCTTGGCTGCTTCCTGCCTGGGGGAAACCTTTGTTGGGAGGTGGGTGGGAGAAAGAACTCTTGTCTGTTGGAGGCAAGTGTGAACATTGCAAATGGCCACCTTGATTAGCATTGAATGGCCTCACAGCTTCAAAGCCCGGCTGCTTCCTGCCAGGCGGAAACCTTTGTTGGGAAGTGGGTGGGAGAAAGAACTCTTGTCTTTTGGAGGCAAGTGTGAATGTTGCAAGTGGCTACCTTGATTAGCATTGAATAGCCTTGCAGCTTCAAAGCCTGGCTGCTTCCTTCCAGGGGGAATCCTTTGTTGGGAAGTGGGTGAGAGAAAGAACTCTTGTCTGTTGGAGGCAAGTGTGAACGTTGCAAGTGGCCACCTTGATTAGCATTGAATGGCCTTGCAGCTTCAAAGCCTGGCTGCTTCCTGCCTGGGGGAATCCTTTGTTGGGAAGTGGGTGTTGCCTAGTTTCCAGTGGAGCTTGTCTCCTCGGGACAAAAGTCCATTTCGTTTGGGGCTTTGCTTCCTATTTCCTTTTCTTCTCTCTTTGTCAGCAGCAAAGTCCAAAGTCTTCCAACATGAGCGGAAAGAAGAACCGGAACGAATATGCGCTCCAATGCATCCCAGGTAGTTAACAATGGAGGGATATTGTGCATATTCTCTCTTTCCATTTGCATTTTTCTCTTTCCGTCCCAAATATTTTCAATTATTACTATATTTATGTCTCAATTGTCTGTCTGCAAAAATAATAAGCAATTAAATATTACATAAATATAATAAAAATAAATATGATAAATATGATATTTATCATATTTATTTTATATATATATATATATATAATATTATATTTATTATATATTATATTGTATTTATTATATATTACATAATATATATTATGTATTATATTATATTTATTATATATTACATTGTATTTATTATATATATTATATTTAACTTATATTATATTGTATTTATTATATATTATATAATATATATTACATATTATATTATATTTATTTTATATTATATTGTATTTAATATATTTTATTAACTATATTATTATATATTATACTATTATATTATAATATTATATTATATATATATTATATATTATATTTTATTATTAATTTAATTATATATATTATATTATATTTTTATATTATTTGTATATTATTATATATTATATAATATATATTATATATTATATTGTATTTATTATATATTATATATTATATAATATTTATTTTATATTATATTTATTATATATTACATTGTTTTTATTATATATATATATTATATATATTATATTATATTTATTATATATTATATTGTATATATTATATATTATACATGATACATTATACATTATATTATATTTATTATATATTATATTATATATATTATAATATTATATTATTTATTATGGAATGGATTGGCCACCATCAAAACCATCCCAACAGATGGCCATCCAGCCTCTGCTTCAAAACTTCAAAACTTCCTTTGCTCTCTTGGTTTAGTTGGGAGGTTAGCCAAAACATTGGGGGTTCCATTCGAAGGTTAGTAAGCTGCAAGAATGGAGCTCGGTGCTTTCAAAGTTCGGACTAAAACCCGTAGTGGGGTCATTCTTGTTTGTCAGGGTGCTCCGTTGTGAAGTAATGGTGGGTTCTTTGTCAACGGCAGGTGAATACATCCAGGAGGAGGCCGCCCACGTCCGCAAGAGCGTCGCTTCCGGAGACGGATACATCCCGGGGACCCTTTACTGCACCAACTTCAGGGTGGCCTTCCTTCCAGACGTGGCTTCAGACAGCGAGGTGCGTTTTACAGGGGATAGGAGCCAGGATCTAGCTCTTTGTCCATTATAGAAATGAAAATTTGTATATATCCACCCACCCATCTGTCAATCAATCCATATTCTCTGTTCAAGGATGCACCCAAGCATCCATTCATACACCCATCCATCCTACTTCTCTGCTCAATAATGCATCCAAGCATCTACCTACCTACCTACCTACCTACCTACCTGCCTATCTATGCATGCATGCATCCATCCACATCCATCCATCTTACTCTTCCACTCAAGAATGCACCCAAGCATCTATTGATCTATCTATCCATCCTCCTATCCTTCCATCCATCTTACTTCTCCAGTCAATGCACCCAAGCATCCATCTGTCTATCTATCTATCCTTCTATTCATCCATCCATCCATCAATCCTACTTCTCCAGTCAAGAATTATCTGTCTGTCTATCTATTTATCTATCTATCTATCTATCTATCTATCTATCTATCTATCTATCTATCTATCTATCCATCCATCCATCCATCCATCCATCCATCCATCCATCCATCATCTATCTATCTATCTATCTATCTATCTATCTATCTATCTATCTATCTATCTATCTATCACTTTATCCATCCATCCATCCTATCTATCCACCTATCCTCAAACATACCATCTATCTACCCACCCACCCACCCATCATCTGTCAATCTCTCAATCTCTCTATCATCTATCTATCCATCCATCCATCCATCCATCATCCATCTCTCACCCATCCTTCCATCTATCCATGCCTCTATATATCTATCATCTATATATCTATCCATCTATCAATCCATCCATCCATCCATTCATCCATCTCTCTATGCATTCATCTATCTATCTATCTATCTATCTATCTATCTATCTATCTATCTATCTATCTATCCTTCGATTCATCCATCCATCCATCCATCCATCCATATTACTTCTCTGCTCAAGAATGCACAAAGCATCCATCCATCCATCCATCCTACTTCTCCAGTCAAGAATGAACCCAAGCATCTATCTATCTGTTTATCTATCTATCTATCTATCTATCTATCTATCTATCTATCTATCTATCCATCCATCCATCCATCCATCCATCCATCCATCCATCCATCCATCCATATTACTTCTCCACTCAAGAATGCCCCCAAACATACCATCCATCCATCCATCCATCCATCCATCCATCCATCCATCCATCCATCCATCCATCCATCCATCCATCCATCCATCCATCCATCCATCCATCCATCCATCCATCCATCCATCCATCCATCTTACTTCTCCACTCAAGAATTCACCCAAACATACCATCCATCTGTCTGTGTGTCTGTCTGTCTATCCTTCCATCTATCCATCCATCCATCAATCCATTTATCCTTCTATCCATCCCTCCATCCATCCATCCATCATTACTCCTCCACTCAAGAATGTATCCAAGCATCTACCTACCTACCTGCCTGCCTTTCTTTCCTCTTCCCTTCCAGGACTGCTCTTCTCCTTACTTCATGCACAGTGACTTTGATGTGGCCCTCTCCTGCATTGGGCGGCTGGTGGCAGGTCAGTATCTGCATGGATTCAGATGGACACCCAGCCTCATTGAATCATAGCATCCTAGAGTTGGGACCCCTAAAGGCCATCCAGTCCACCCTTGTTCTGCCATAAGGGACAGCACTACCAAAGCCCTCTCGACAGATGACCACCCAGCCTCATTGAATCATAACATCCTAGAGTTGGGACCCCTAAAGGCCATCCAGTCTAACCCCCTTCTGCCATAAAGGACGGCACCATCAAAGCCCTCTCAACAGATGGCCACCCCACCTCATTGAATCATAGAATCCTAGAGTTGGAACAGAGACCCCTAAAGGCCACCAAACCCCTCCCAGCAGATGACCACATGTCAGTCTCTCCCTATATTGCTGAATGAATGCAATTTGGTGCTGCCTGGACTGCTAAGGCTCCATAGTATGTTATCCTGAGAATTGTAGTTTTCCCAAGGCCTTTCCTGCTTCTCTGTCACTGAGTTCTGGTGCGTCCCCAAACTACAAATCCCATTACGATTTGAGTCACGACAGTATATAGAGGCACTCAACAATACTCTCAACTTCTTGCCAAGGCTAGGGACTTTTAGTACTGCAAATCCCAGTATCCCTTAGTCTAGTATCAGCAAACCCTTGGGACTTGGTGAGGGGAATAATACGAGTGACTTTTCGACTTGCAGCGATGGAAGTAGGCTGAGGACAAAGGGGGAAGGAAAGCTGGGACTTTTCATAAGTGGGCAGGGCCGTAGCCAGAAAAATTTTTCGGGAGGGGTTGAAATTTTCGGGGGGGGGGAGGGTTGAAAATTTCGCGGGGGGGGGGGGGTTGAACCCCTAAAACCACCCCCTCGCTACAGGCCTGTAAGTGGGAATGTAGAGGATTCATCTAGGGTTGTTCCTTCTGGGATTCACTATTGGGGTTTCCCCCCTTCGTGCCAATGGGACCCCATGGCCTGGCCCCATTCTTTCTCAGTGAACAGCTTCACCAAAGCCAAGGTCTTGACCGGCACTTCGACCCTGAAGTTCATCCCGGAGGAGCTGGTGATCTATTGCCGGGATTTCCGAGTCCTGCATTTCCACTTCCACGAAAGCGGATTGGAACCACAAGCCTTCCGGGTGAGTCCTTGGGTGGCTTTATGATGGACTTTGCATATCATGGTTACCTGTTGTTGTTGTTGTTGTTGTTGTTGTTGTTGTTTTTATTTCCATAGAGACTCCCAGAATCCAGACATTTTATCATTCGTTGGAATTGGAAGGGGCCCCCAAAGACCATCTAGTCCAACCCTTTTCCAGCCAGACAGGAAGGCACAGTCAAAGCCTTCCCGACAGATGGCCACCCAGCCTCTGCTTAACAACAATAACAATAATATAATAAGGCAGGAAAGGCACAATAAAATCCCTCCCAATAGATGGCCGTGCACCTCTAAATAATAACAACAACAACAACAACAACAACATGCTCCTGCCAGGCAGGAAGGGCACAGTCAAAGCCTTCCCAACAGATCACCATCCAGCCTCTGCTTAGCAACAACAATAATATTATAATAATGCTTCTGCCAGGCAGGAAAGGCACAATAAAATCCCTCCCAATARWTSRSCSTGCAMYWMTAATAATAATAATAATARYAAYAAYAAYAAYAAYAAYATKCTCCTGCCAGGCAGGAAGGGCACAGTCAAAGCCCTCCCGACAGATGACCATCCAGCYTCTGTTTAACAACAACAATAACAATAATATAATAATGCTTCTGCCAAGCAGGAAARGCACAATAAAATCCCTCCAAATAAATGACCATCCAGCCTCTAAATAATAATAATAATAATAATAATAATAATAATAATATGCTCCTGCCAGGCAGGAAGGGCACAGTCAAAGCCCTCCCRACAGATGRCCATCCAGCCTCTGCTTAACAACAACAACAATAATATAATAATGCTTCTGCCAGGCAGGAAAGGCACAATAAAATCCCTCCCAATAGATGGCCATGCAACCTCTAAGTAATAATAATAATAATAATAATAATAATAATAATAATAATAATAATAATATGCTTCTGCCAGGCAGGAAGGGCACAGTCAAAGTCCTCCCAACAGATGACCATCCAGCCTCTGCTTAACAACAACAATAATATTATTATAATAATGCTTCTGCCAGGCAGGAAAGGCACAATAAAATCCCTCCCAACAGATGGCTATCTGTTTTATTGTTGCTTAAAAACAATAACATAATAATGCTCCTGCCACAATAAAATCCCTCCCAATAGATGGCCATGCAGCCTCTAAATAATAATAATAATAATAATAGTAACAATAGTAATAATAGTAATAATAGTAATAATAGTAATAATATGCTCCTGCCAGGCAGGAAGGGCACAGTCAAAGCCCTCCCAACATATGGCCATCCAGTTTCTGCTTAACAACAACAACAACAATAACATAATAATGCTTCTTCCAGGCAGGCAGGAAAGGCACAATGAAATACTTCCTAACAGATGGGCATCCGGCCTCTGCTTAAAAATAATAACAATGATATAATAATGCTCCTGCCACAATAAAATCCATCCCAATAGATGGCCATGCAGCCTCTACATAATAATAATAATAATAATAATAATAATAATAATATGCTCCTGCCAGGCAGGAAGGCACAGTCAAAGCCCTCCCAACAGATGGCCATCCAGCCTCTGCTTAACAACAACAACAACAATAATTTAATAATGCTTCTGCCAGGCAGGAAAGGCACAATAAAATCCCTCCCAACAGATGGCCATAATAATAATAATAATAATAATAATAATAATAATAATAATAATATGCTTCTGCCAGGCAAGAAAGGCACAATCGAAGCCCTCCCAACAGATGGCCATGCAGCCTCTGCTTAACAACAACAGTAATAATATAATAATGCTTCTGCCAGGCAGGAAAGGCACAATAAAATCCCTCCCAACAGATGGGCAAGCAGCCTCTTAATAATAATAATAATAATAATAATAATAATAATAATATACTCCTGCCTGGCAGGAAGGGCACAGTCAAAGCCCTCCCAACAGATGGCCATGCGGCCTCTAAATAATAATAATAATAATAATAATAATAATAATAATATGCTTCTGCCAGGCAAGAAAGGCACAATCGAAGCCCTCCCAACAGATGGCCGTCCAGCCTCTGCTTAACAACAACAGTAATAATATAATAATGCTTCTGCCAGGCAGGAAAGGCACAATAAAATCCCTCCCAACAGATGGGCAAGCAGCCTCTTAATAATAATAATAATAATAATAATAATAATAATAATATGCTTCTGCCAGACAAGAAAGGCACAGTCGAAGCCCTCCCAACAGATGGCCGTCCAGCTTCTGCTTAACAACATTATAATAATGCTTCTGCCGGACGTGGAGCCACGGCAATTAAAAGTGGAACCAAACTGCATCAATTCCTCAGTGTAGATACCCCAGAGTAGGGTTTTTGACCATGAGTTGGTCCTTTAAGTTGAGGGAGGCTTATATACAATTAAATTGCCAGACGTGTGGACCCTTCGACGTCTTCTCCGTCCTTCCCCTTGCATTGCAGGTGACCATGGCCATTGCCCAAGCCCAGGAGTGCGGACATCGGGACGGCAGCGCTTGCGAAAACGTGGCTCTGAAAAATCTGGGTGAGTCCCAATATTGGGGTGGAGTGGCCGGAAGGGAGGGTCCTTGTTGGTTCTTGGCCAGCAAAGTCCAATGTGCTTCTGGGTCTAGAGAACAGCCGGCTGCGGAGGGAAGAGGAGGAGGAGGAGGAAGAGGGCGAGGAAGGCTCCGGGACGTTGCTTTTCGAGACGCTTTCGGACTGGGAGAAGGAACTGGAGCGCATGGGAGCGACTGGGTGGAGGGTCAGCCCCGCCAATGAACGCTTCGATATGTCGACCAGGTAGGAAAGTGGGATCGACATTTAGATAATAATACTAATACTACTACTAATAATAGTAACAATAGATAATATAATTATATATAATAATCCCATATATAATAATAATAATTCTATTAATAGCTAATAATATAATATATCATAATACTACACAATATTGTGATATACTAATACTAATACTACTCATCAATAATATTGTAATATTAGATACTACTGCTAATACATAATCATAGAATAATATATCATAATACTGCACAATATTGTTATACAATAATACTAATACTACTCATCAATATTATTATAATATTAGATACTACTGCTAATACATAATCATAGAATAATATATCATAATACTACACAATATTGTTATACAATAATACTAATACTACTCATCAATATTATTATAATATTAGATACTACTGCTAATACATAATCATAGAATAATATATCATAATACTGCACAATATTGTTATACAATAATACTAATACTACTCATCAATATTATTATAATATTAGATACTACTGCTAATACATAATCATAGAATAATATATCATAATACTACACAATATTGTTATACAATAATACTAATACTACTCATCAATATTATTATAATATTAGATACTACTGCTAATACATAATCATAGAATAATATATCATAATACTGCACAATATTGTTATACAATAATACTAATACTACTCATCAATATTATTATAATATTAGATACTACTGCTAATACATAATCATAGAATAATATATCATAATACTGCACAATATTGTTATACAATAATACTAATACTACTCATCAATATTATTATAATATTAGATACTACTGCTAATACATAATCATAGAATAATATATCATAATACTACACAATATTGTTATACAATAATACTAATACTACTCATCAATATTATTATAATATTAGATGCTACTGCTAATACATAATCATAGAATAATATATCATAATACTACACAATATTGTGATATAATAATACTAATACTACTCATCAATAATATTGTAATATTAGATACTACTGCTAATACATAATCATAGAATAATATATCATAATACTACACAATATTGTGATATAATAATACTAATACTACTCATCAATAATATTGTAATATTAGATACTACTGCTAATACATAATAATATAATAATATATCATAATACTACACAATATTGTGATATAATAATACTAATACTACTCATCAATAATATTGTAATATTAGATACTACTGCTAATACATAATCATAGAATAATATATCATAATACTACACAATATTGTTATACAATAATACTAATACTACTCATCAATAATATTGTAATATTAGATACTACTGCTAATACATAATCATAGAATAATATATCATAATACTACACAATATTGTTATACAATAATACTAATACTACTCATCAATATTATTATAATATTAGATGCTACTGCTAATACATAATAATATAATAATATATCATAATACTACACAATATTGTGATATAATAATACTCATACTACTAATCGATAATATTATAATATTAGATACTACTGCTAATACATAATCATATAATAATATATCATAATACTACACAATATTGTTATATAGTAATACTCGTACTACTAATGTGTAATAGTATAATAATAATATCATAATAATACACAATATTGTTATATAATACTAATAATACTATTAATATGCAATAGTAAATACTATAATTAAATGGTATAATATTAAATACTACTGCTAATACATAAACATATAATAATATATCATAATGCTACATAATATTGTTATATAATAATACAAATATTACCAATATATAATAGTATAATAATACTATATAATATTAGATACTACTTCTAATACATAATTATATAATAATATATCATAATACTACACAATATTGTTATACAATGATACTAATACTACTCATCCATAATATTATAATATTAGATACTAGTGCTAATAAATAATAATACAATAATATATCATAATACTACACCATATTGTTATATAATATGAATAATACTACTAATATGTAATAGTATAATAATACTATAATATTTAATATTATAATTAAGTAGTATAATATTAGATACTACTGCTAATACATAATCATATAATAATATATTATAATAATACACAATATTGTTATATAATACTAATAATACTATTAATATGTAATAGTAAAACAATACTATAATATTAAATGCTATACTATAATTAAATAGTATAATATTAAATACTACTGCTGATACATAATCATATACTACACAATATTGTTATATAATAATACTAATAACACAAATATGTAATAGTATAATAATACAATATAATATTGGATACTACTGCTAATACATAATAATACAATAATATATCATAATACTACACAATATTGTTATATAATAATACTAATACTACTAATATGTAATAGTATAATAATACTATATAATTTTAGATACTACTACCAATACATAATCATAATAATATATCATACTACACAATATGCTTATACAGTAATACTAGTACTACTCAGCCATAATATTATAATATTAGATACTACTGCTAACACATAATTATATAATAATATATCATAATACTACACAGTATTGTTATATAATACTACTAATACTACTAATAATATATAATAGTATAATAATACTATATAATATTAGATACTACTTCTAATACATAACTATATAATAATATAGCATAATAATACACAGTATTGTTATACAATAATACTAATACTACTCATCGATAATATTATAATATTAGATACTACTGCTAATACATAATCATATAATAACATATCATAATAATACACAATATTGTTATATAATACTAATAATGCTACTAATATGTAATAGTATAATAATACTATAATAGTAAATACTATAATTAAATAGTATAATATTAAATACTACTGCTAATACATATATAAAAACATATCATAATACTACACAATATTGTTGTATAATAATACTAATACTAAACGATAATATTATATTAGATATTACTTCTAATATATAATTATATAATAATATATCATAATACTACATAATATTGTTATATAATAATATACTAATATGGAATAGTATAATAATACTATATAATATTAGATACTACTTCTAATACATAATCACATAATAATATATCATAATAATACACAATATTGTTATATAATACTAATAATACCACTAATATGTAATAGTATAATAATACTATATAATATTAGATACTACTACTAATATATAGGATCACCAGGTGGTGCAGTGGGTTAAACCACTGAGCCGCTGAACTTGCTGATCGAAAGGTGACAGGTTCGTCTTCGGGGAGCGGGGTGAGCTCCCGCTGTTAGCCCCAGCTTCTGCCAACCAAGCAGTTCGAAAACATGCAAATGGGAGTAGATCAATAGGTAGGAAGGTAAGGGCGCTCCATGCAGTCATGCTGGCCGCATGACCTTGGAGGTGTCTAGGGACAACGCCGGCTCTTCGGCTTGGAAATGGAGATGAGCACCAGAGTCCCAGAGTCGGATGCGATTGGACTTAATGCCAGGGGAAAAATTTTACCTTTACCTTACACTTACACACATATATAGGAGTCTTTGTGAGCCTTGAACTCGCCTCCTTCCTTCTCTTTAGCCTCCCGAAGTATCTCTGGGTTCCCGGCCGGTTCCTGGACAACGAACTCAAGAGGACTTTTGTGCATTTCAGCGAGCGGCGCATTCCGGTGAGAGGATGGGATTTGTAGTCCAGAGATCTCAGGCATGAAGTGCAAACCCAACTATGAATCCCGTTGAGTGTGCGGCAGTTTTCTGTTACTGAATGAAAGAGGGTCAGGATGGATGACCTCTAAGGTGCCCACTTTGCAAAGAAAGGCACAGAGAGAGGAAGTGCTGAGATTTGTCAACAAAGGATCTTGAAAGAACTTATGATAAGACATTCCATAATAATATTATGTATTATCTATAGAAATAAAAATGTAATGTTCGTTTGTGGGATTAACAGAACACAAAAACCACTGGACGAATTGACACCAAATTTGGACACTATACCCCTAACAGACAAACGAGTGTCCATCACCCCTAAAAACACACACACACACAAAACCCCAGCGGAGCAGGCTTAAAAACCCAAAAACTAAACCATATATACATATACACTCATTTACATATACACATGCACACATTCATATATGTATATGCACAAACACACATAAATATACACATATACACACATACATATACATACACACATATATACACATGAACACACAAATATACACACATACATATATACATATACACATATGGGTATACACACAAATATACATTTAGACACACATACATATACATACACACACATACACACACATATATATGTATACACACAAATATACATATAGACACACATATATACACATGAACACACAAATATACATATATACACAGATACATATATACATACATAAATACACATACATACACACATATATATGTATACACACAAATATACATAGAGACACACATACATATACGTACACACACATATATATGTATACACACATACATGGATACATACATATACACACATATATGTATACACACAGATATACATATAGACACATACATTTACATACACACATATATACACATGAACACACAAATATACATATATACATACATATATACATATACACATACACACACATATATATGTATACACACAAATATACATATAGACAAGCACACACATATACACAATATGCATGTACACATACAAACACACAAATACACAAATATATACACACACATATATACACCCATATACATATACATATATATATATGTATGCGCAAACACACATATATATACAAACACACAAAACACATATACACAGACTGGGCCACGGCAACGTATGGTAGGGGATGGCTAGTGTTCAATGAATATTAGTTAGATACCCTTCACACCCTCCGTTTTGTCCATGCTCAGAGGCTGTGTTGGCGTCACCCGTCGGGCAGCAGTCTCCTCCGGTCGGCCAGCTTCCACCCGGATTCGGATCCAGAGAAGGAGGACATGAGGTACGGCTCTCTGGGAGGAAGGCGCAGAGGTCCGTTTGCGCCGAGCGCACCTTGATCCTCCCCCCACGTTCTCCGTCTCTCTCCTGGCAGGTCGGTGGAGAAGCTCATGCTGGCGGGACATTCCCAGTGCGTCGTCGTCGATGTGGCCTCCGACCTCCCCAACTTGCCCGAAATCCAACAGTCCTATGCACGGCTTTGGACGCTTTGCCTTTGCCTTGCAGGTGAGCGCTGGTCCATTTCGTTAGCATCTATCGGGAGGGCTTTGCTTGTGCCTTTCCTGCCTGGCAGAAAGAGGTTGGACTGGATGGCCCTTGGGGTCTCTCCCAACTCTAGGACTATTATTATTATTATTATTATTATTATTATTATTATTATTATTATTAAGCAGAGGGTGGATGGTCATCTGTCGGGAGGGGTTTGATTATTATTATTATTATTATTATTATTATTATTAGCATTATTATTATGCAGAGGGTGGATGGCCATCTGTTGGGAGGGCTTTGATTGTGCCTTTCCTGCTTAGCAGAAGCATCATATTATTATTGCTATTGTTATTGTTATTATTATGCAGAGGGTGGGTGGCCATCTGTCAAGAGGGCTTTAACTGTGCCTTTCCTGCTTAGGAGAAGCATTATGATGATGATTATTATTATTATTAAGCAGAGGCTGGATGACCATCTGTCGGGAGGGCTTTGATTGTGCTTTTCCTGCTTAGCAGAAGCATTATTATTATTATTATTATTATTATTATTATTATTAAGCAGAGGCTGGATGGCCATCTGTCGGGAGGGCTTTGATTGTGCTTTTCCTACTTGGCAAAYACATTATTATTATGATWATAATAATAATWATTATTAAGCAGAAGCTGGATGGCCATCTGACAAGAGGACTTTAATAGTGCCTTTCTTGCTTAGCAGAAACATGATGATGATGATTAAGCAGAGGCTGGATGGCCATCTGTCAGGAGGGCTTTAATAGTGCCTTTCCTGCTTGGTAAAACTAGATTATTGTTATTATTACTATTATTACTATTACTGCTGCTGCTACTAAGGAGAGGCTGCATGGCCATCTGTCGGGAGGGCTTTGATTGTGCCTTTCCTGCTTGGTAAAAGTCAATTACTATTATTATTATTATTATTGCTGCTGCTGCTACTAAAGAGAAGCTGCATGGCCATCTGTCGGGAGGGCTTTGATGGTGCCTTTCCTGCTTGGTAAAAGTAGATCATGATGATGATGATGATGATMATTATTATTATTATTGGGTTGAAAGCCTTCGACAATACATTATTATTATTATTATTATTACTACTACTACTACTACTGCTGCTACTAAGGAGAGGCTGCATGGCCATCTGTCAGGAGGGCTTTGAGAAACGGGGTCACATTCCATGTCCCTTGGGGTCTCTTCTAACTCTAGGGATTTCCTGGCCCTCAAAATCCCCTTCAGAGTTAGAGATCCAGTTGCAAATGCTGGAAGGAGAAGGAGATTGCAATGTCTAATAATAATAATAATAATAATAATAAATAGTAATAATAATGAGATTGCAATATCTAATAATGTCTTATTTTCCTTTCTCTTGGAGATTCATCTGTCACCCCTTCGGACGAGAAGTGGCTCTCAAGCTTGGAAGGGACGCGGTGGTTGGATCACGTCAGGTGAGTCGGACGATTACTTCCCTCGTTCCCTATTCCAGAATCGCATTGGCCTTTTTCGCTGCAGCGTCACACTCTCGGCTCAGGGTCCACGGAGACTCCCATTCCCACGGACTGTTTCCAAGCCACCCACCCAATATTTGCACAAGGTTCATACTGAACGATTCTGATTCTCCCAATGGAAAGTATCATAATGTTGTTGTTGTTGTTGTTGTTGTTGTTGTTGTTGTTGTTGTTGTTGTTGTTGTTGTTATGATGCTTTTCCTTTGCAGGGCTTGCTTGAAGAAGGCTGGAGAGATCTCCGTCTTGCTGGCCGAAAGGAGTCGCTCGGTAGTCCTGCAAGGTAGACTATATCCTTGCAATGCTCCAATTCAGACAATAGTGTTTGTAGGATACTATTATGTTGTTGTTGTTGTTTGTTGTTGTTGTTGTTTGTTGTTGTTGTTGTTTGTTGTTGTTGTTGTTTGTTGTTGTTGTTGTTTGCAATTTGCGGTTTTGGGCTGCCCAGTGTTTCTACACTGTCGAATTAATGCAACTTCAACCCCACTTTGATTACCATGGCTGAGTGCTATAGGGTCCTGGGATGTACAGTTTGGAAGGCTCCGGACCTTGTGAAACTACAACTTCCACCATTGAGCAGTGGCAGTTCAAAGTAGGGTCAAACTCCATTAAATCTTACAATCTTCTTAATGCCATGACCCCTTAATGTAGTTCCTCATGTTTTTGGGGAACATAGACCTTGACATTTGGGAGTTGTAGTTGCAGGGATTTATAGTTCACCTACAATCAAAGAGCATTCTCAACTTCACAAATAATGGAATTGAACAAAACTTGGCACACAGAACTTCCTTGACCAACAGCAAATATTGGAAGGGGGAAATGACCTTGACATTTGGGAGTTGTAGTTGCTGGGATTTATAGTTCACCTACAATCAAAGAGCATTCTGAACTCCACCATGATGGAATTGAACCAAACTTTGCACACAGAACTCCCATGACCAACAGAAAATACTGGAAGTGTTTGGTGGGCATTGACCTTGAGTTTTGGAGTTGTAGTTGCAGGGATTTATAGTTCACCTACAATCAAAGAGCATTCTGAACTCCACCAACAATGCAATTGAACCAAACTTGGCAGACAGAAATCCCATGTCCAACAGCAAATACTGGAAGGGTTTGATGAGCATTGACCTTGAGTTTTGGAGTTGTAGTTGCAGGGATTTATAGTTCACCTACAATCAAAGAGCATTCTGATCTCCCCCAGCAACGGAATTGAACCAAACTTGGCACACAGAACTCCCGTGACCCATAGAAAATACTGGAAGTGTTTGGTGGGTATTGACCTTGAGTTTTGGAGTTGTAGTTCACCTTCATCCAGAGAGCACTGTGGACTCAAACAATGATGGATCTGGACCAAACTTGGCACAAATACTCAATATGCCCAAATATGAACACTGGCGGAGTTTGGAGAAAATAGACCTTGTCATTTGGGAGTTGTGGTTGCTGGGATTTATAGTTCACCTACAATCAAAGCATTCTGAACTCCATCAACAATGGAATTGAACCAAACTTGGCACACAGAACTCCATGACCAACAGAAAATACTGGAAGGGTTTGGTGGGCATTGCCTTAAGTTTTTGGAGTTGTAGTTCATCTACATCCAGAGATCACTGTGGACTCAAACAATGATGGATCTGGACCAAACTTGGCACGAATACTCAATATGCCCAAATGTGAACACTGGTGGAGTTTGGGCAAAATAGACCTTGACATTTGGGAGTTATAGTTGCTGGGATTTATAGTTCACCTACAATCAAAGAGCATTCTGACTCCACCAACGATGCAATTGAACCAAACTTTGCACACAGAACTCCTGTGACCAACAGCAAATACTGGAAGTGTTTGGTGGGCATTGACCTTGAGTTTTGGAGTTGTAGTTCACCATTGAAAAGGACACGCACGATGCAAAGCAATGTTGTTTCCTATTTGCAATGGCGTCCAGGTTTCAAAACAGATCCTTTCCCCCTTTTTTTCTCCCCTTTGCACAGAATCGGGTGACCGGGACCTGAACTGTTTGCTGGCCTCCTTAGTCCAGGTCCTTTCGGACGCTTACAGCAGAACCATCTCCGGGTTCCAGAGCCTGATCCAGAAAGAATGGGTTGCAGCCGGGCACCCCTTCCTCCATCGGCTCAACCTGTTCCAGAAGAAACAAGCACCTTGGTATCCCTACGGATGTCTGGGTCTTCAAACACTCTCTGCTTCATTTGGAAAAATGCTGCACTCACAGAGCTCAGGCAGTGTTGTATTTCAGTCTCAATGTTGACGTCTGTAGACAGTCCACGTTTTGCAGCGTATAACAGGGTAGGAAGGACACTAGCTTTATAAACAAGTACCTTGGCCTCGCTACGGATGTCGTGATCCTCAAACACTCTGCTTCATTAGGAAAAATGCTGCACTTGCAGAGCTCAGGCAGTGTTGTATTTCAGTCTCAATGTTGACATCTGTAGACAGTCCACGTTTTGCAGGGTATAACAGGGTAGGAAGGACACTAGCTTTATAAACAAGTACCTTGGCCTCGCTACGGATGTCGTGATCCTCAAACACTCTGCTTCATTAGGAAAAATGCTGCACTTGCAGAGCTCAGACAGTGTTGTATTTCAGTCTCAATGTTGACATCTGTAGACAGTCCACGTTTTGCAGGGTATAACAGGGTAGGAAGGACACTAGCTTTATAAACAAGTACCTTGGCCTCGCTACGGATGTCGTGATCCTCAAACACTCTGCTTCATTAGGAAAAATGCTGCACTTGCAGAGCTCAGACAGTGTTGTATTTCAGTCTCAATGTTGACATCTGTAGACAGTCCACGTTTTGCAGGGTATAACAGGGTAGGAAGGACACTAGCTTTATAAACAAGTACCTTGGCCTCGCTACGGATGTCGTGATCCTCAAACACTCTGCTTCATTAGGAAAAATGCTGCACTTGCAGAGCTCAGACAGTATTGTATTTCAGTCTCAATGTTGACGTCTGTAGACAGTCCACGTTTTGCAGCGTATAACAGGGTAGGAAGGACACTAGCTTTATAAACAAGTACCTTGGCCTCGCTACGGATGTCGTGATCCTCAAACACTCTGCTTCATTAGGAAAAATGCTGCACTTGCAGAGCTCAGGCAGTGTTGTATTTCAGTCTCAATGTTGACATCTGTAGACAGTCCACGTTTTGTAAGGTATAACAGGGTAGGAAGGACACTAGCTTTATAAACAAGTACCTTGGCCTCGCTCGGATGTCCTGGTCCTCAAACACTCTCTGCTTCATTTGGAAAAATGCTGCACTCACAGAGCTCAGGTGGTGTTGTATTTTGGTGTCAATGTTGACTTTGTCTGTAGACAGTCCACGTTTTGCAGGCGTATAGCAGGGTTGGGAGGACAATAGCTTTATAAACAAGCACCTTGGTATCCCTACGGATGTCCTGGTCCTCAAACACTCTGCTTCATTTGGAAAAATGCTGCACTTGCAGAGCTCAGGCAGTGTTGTATTTCAGTTATTATTTTCTTCCCCTTTCAGTCGCCGGTCTTCCTGTTGTTCCTGGATTGCGTCTGGCAGCTCCTCCATCAGTTTCCCCGGTCTTTCGAGTTCACCGACACTTACCTGGTGGCTTTGCACGACAGCAGCTACCTGCCCTTTTCCAGCACTTTCCTCTTCAACTGCCAATGGGAACGGGGGCGGAGGAACCAGGTGAGACCGAAACACTCACCTGGATGGACGTCTCCATTTAGAAGTCCCCCAAATCACACCAATGTGGGGTCAGAATCCCCCAAATCATGCCGATTTTAGGGCAAAATCCCCTGAATCATCGTCTGAAAGAAAGAAAGAAAAAGAGGAGAGAGGAAGGAGGGAAGGGAAAGTAAAGAGGAAAGAAGGAGAGTATAGAGGGAAAGGAAAGGGGGAAATAAGTAGGGAGGGAGGAAGGAAGGCAGAAAGAAAAAGAAAGAAAGAGAAAGAAGAGAGAGGAAGGAGGGAAGGGAGAGGAAAGAGGAAAGAAGGAAGGAAGGAAGGAAGGAAGGAAGAGAGGGGAGGAAGGAGGGAGGGGAAGTAAAGGGGAAGGAAGGAAGGAGAGAAGGAGAGAGAAGAGAAAGGAAAGGGAAAGAGGGAGGGAGGAAGAGGAAGGAAAGAAAGAGAAAAGAAAGAGAAAAGAAGAGAGAGGAGAGGGAAGGGAGAGAAAGAAGAAAGGAAGGAAGGAGAGGAAGGAGGAAGGGAGAGGAAAGAAGAAAAGGAAGGAAGGAGAGGAAGGAGGAAGGAAGGAAAGAAGAAAGGAAAAGGAAGGAAGGAGAGGAAGGAGAAAGAAGAGGAAGGAAAGAGGGAAGAAGGACAGAAAGAAAAAGAAGAGAAAGAGGAGGAGGGAAGGAGGGAGAAAGGAAAGAGGAAGGAAGGAGAGAAAGTATAGAGTGAAAGGAAAAGAAAGGGAGAAGTAAGTAGGGAGGGAAGGAAGAAGGCAGAAAGAAAAAGAAAGAGAAAGAAGAGAGAGGAAGGAGGGAAGGGAAAGGAAAGAGGAAAGAAGGAAGGAAGGAGAAAGAGAGGAAGGACTGAGGGGAAAAGTAAAGGGAAGGAAGGAGGAGAGAAAGGAGAGAGTACAGAGGGAAAGGAAAGGGGAAAATGAGGGAGGGAGGAATGAAGGAAGTCAGAAATAAAAAGAAAGAAAGAGAAAGAGGAGAGAGGAAGGAGAGAAGGGAAAGGAAAGAAGGAAGGAAGGAAGGAGAGGAATGAGAGTACAGAGGGAAGGGAAAGGGAAAGGGAGGAATGAAGGAAGTCAGAAAGAACAAGAAAGAAAGAGAAAGAGGAGAGAGGAAGGAGGGAAGGGAAAGGCAAGAGGAAAGAAGGAAGGAAGGGGAGAAAGGAGAGAGAGTACAGAGGAGAAGGAAAGGAAGAAAGGAAAGGGGAAAATAAGGAGGAAGGAAGAAAGACAGAAAGAAAAAGAAAGAGAGAAAGAAGAGAGAGGAAGGAGGGAAGGGAAAGAGGAAGAAAGGAAAGAAGGAAGGAAGGAAGGAGAGGAAGAGGAGAGAAGAGGAAAAGGAAAGGGAAATAAGAAGGAAGGAAGGAAGAAAAAGAGGAGAGAGGAAGGAGGGAAGGGAAAGGAAGGAGGAAGGAAGGAAGGAGGGAAGGAGAGGGAAGAAGGAGGGAAAGGAAAGGAAAGGGAAAAGAGGGAGGGAAGAAGGAAGGAAAGCAGGAAGGAAGAAAGAAGGAGGAGAGAAAGAGGGAAGGGAAGGAAAGTGGAAAGAGGGAGGGAAGAAAGAATGAATGAAAGAAGGAAAGAAAAGGAAGAGGGAGGAAAGAAAAGAAAAAAAGAGGGAGGAAGAGGAAGGAAAAGAGGAAGGAAGGAAGGAAGAGGAAGAGGGAAGGGAAAGGAAAGAGAAAGAGGGAGGGAAGAAGGAAAGAAAGAATAAAGAAGAAAGAAGAGAGAAGAAGGGAAGAGAAGAAGAGAAAAGGGAAGGAGGAGGAAGGAGGAGGAGAAGAAAGGAAGGATGGAAGGGAGGAAGGAAGGAGGGAAAAAAAAAAGAAGGAAAAGGGAAAGAGGGAGGGAAGAAAGAAAGAAAAAAAAAAGAAAGAGATGAAAGTAGAGAGGAAGGAGGGAAGGGAAGAAGAGGAAAGGGGGAAGATGGAGGGAAGAAGGACAGAAGGCAGAAAGGAAGGATGGAGAGGAAAAAGGGAAGGGAAACAGGAAAGAGGGAGGGAAGAAGGAAAGAAAGCAGAAAGAAAGTAAGAGGAGAGAGGAAGGAGGGAGGGAAAGGAAAGCAAAAAGAGGGAGGGAAGGAGGAGAGAAAGCAGAAAGAAAGAAAGAAAGAAAGAAAGAAAGAGAGAAAGAGAGAAAGAGAGACAGAGAGGAAGGGATGGAAAGGAAAGGGGAAAGAGGGAGGAAGGCAGAACGAAAGGAAAGCAAGAGGAAGGGGAAAGGGGAAGGAAAGGAAGGGCACATATCCTATATAACTGCTAGTATAATGGGAGCCTGTCATTTTGTATTTCCATTTCAAGGTGGAAGAGTATTCGTTTTGGGGCAAAACTCACCCTCCAAATCGTACGAAAACGGGGCAAGGCCAATTTCAGGGGGGAAATCCCCAAAATCATGCTGACGTGGTGCAACGTCCAAGAAGCAAAAGCCATCCACCCATTCGTTCCTTTCTCTCTCTTTGTTTCCGGATCCAGAACGGGTTCCGCAACCAGCTCTACACCCCGATCAATGGCTGGCGGGAGACGGTGTGTCTGGAGATCCTGCGGGACGGAGGCTGCCCGGTCAAGGAAGCCGATCCCACGGCCTGCTTGCCCACCGCCTGGGATTGGGGACTGAGGTTCAGCCGGCGCCAGCGGTCCCAATTCAGGAGCCCCTGGTTCCGCAAAAGGGGCCCCGGCACCGGAGTGGCCCTCAACGGAAACTTCCTGCCCCCAAATGCCGGCAAGGTAGGCCTTTGGGGGACGAGGGGAGCACGAGAGCATTTGGATCCCTTGAGATTTGCTACTGATATCCTTTAGGCGCCAGGACTCACCCTCCACTCTGCTCTGCATTCACCTTCTAGCCCAGGCATGGGCAAACTTTGCCCTTCCTTCCAGGTGTTTGGACTTCGACTTCCACAATTTCTAACAGCCGGTGTCCCAATTGAGGGATAAAAGCAGGATATTATTATTATTATTATTATTATTACATTCATTGTGCTTTTCCTGCATGGCAGGAGGTTGGACTAGATGACCCATGTGATCTCTTCCAACTCTATATTATTATTATTATTATTATTATTATTATTATTATTATTATTATTATTATGGCTGGTTGGACATCTGTCAGGGGGACTTTGATTGTGCTTTTCCTATATGGCCGAACCAATATATTATTATTATTATTATTATTATTATTATTAGGCAGAGGGTGAGTGACCATCTGTCAGGGGGGCTTTGATTGTGCCTTTCCTACTTGGCCAAACCAATATATTATTATTATTATTATTATTATTATTATTATTATTATTAGGCAGAGGGTGAGTGACCATCTGTCAGGGGGGCTTTGATTGTGCCTTTCCTACTTGGCCAAACCAATATATTATTATTATTATTATTATTATTATTATTATTATTATTAGGCAGAGGGTGAGTGACCATCTGTCAGGAGGGCTTTGATTGTGCCTTTCCTACTTGGCCGAACCAATATATTATTATTATTATTATTATTATTATTATTATTATTATTAGGCAGAGGGTGAGTGACCATCTGTCAGGAGGGCTTTGATTGTGCCTTTCCTACTTGGCCGAACCAATATATTATTATTATTATTATTATTATTATTATTATTATTATTAGGCAGAGGGTGAGTGACCATCTGTCAGGGGGGCTTTGATTGTGCCTTTCCTACTTGGCCGAACCAATATATTATTATTATTATTATTATTATTATTATTAGGCAGAGGGTGAGTGACCATCTGTCAGGGGGGCTTTGATTGTGCCTTTCCTACTTGGCCAAACCAATATATTATTATTATTATTATTATTATTATTATTATTATTATTAGGCAGAGGGTGAGTGACCATCTGTCAGGAGGGCTTTGATTGTGCCTTTCCTACTTGGCCAAACCAATATATTATTATTATTATTATTATTATTATTATTATTATTATTAGGCAGAGGGTGAGTGACCATCTGTCAGGGGGGCTTTGATTGTGCCTTTCCTACTTGGCCAAACCAATATATTATTATTATTATTATTATTATTATTATTATTATTATTAGGCAGAGGGTGAGTGACCATCTGTCAGGGGGGCTTTGATTGTGCCTTTCCTACTTGGCCGAACCAATATATTATTATTATTATTATTATTATTATTATTATTATTATTATTAGGCAGAGGGTGAGTGACCATCTGTCAGGAGGGCTTTGATTGTGCCTTTCCTGCCTGGCAGAAGCATAATGTTGTTGTTGTTGTGATGCAGAGGCTGCATGGCCATCTGTCGGGAGGGCTTTGATTGTGTCTTTCCTGCCTGGCAGAAGCATAATGTTGTTGTTGTTGTGATGCAGAGGCTGCATGGCCATCTGTCGGGAGGGCTTTGATTGTGTCTTTCCTGCCTGGCAGAAGCATAATATTGTTGTTGTTGTTATGATGCAGAGGCTGCATGGCCATCTGTCAGGAGGGCTTTCATTGTGCCTTTCCTGCCTGGCAGAAGCATAATATTGTTGTTGTCGTTATGATGCAGAGGCTGCATGGCCATCTGTCGGGAGGGCTTTGATTGTGTCTTTCCTACCTGGCAGTATCATAATGTTGATCTTGTTGTTGTTGTTATGATGCAGAGGCTGCATGGCCATCTGTCGGGAGGGCTTTGATTCTGTCTTTCCTGCCTGGCATAAGCATAATATTGTTGATGTTATGATGCAGAGGCTGCATGGCCATCTGTTGGGAGCGCTTTGATTGTGCCTTTCCTACCTGGCAGTATCATAATGTTGATGTTGTTGTTGATGTTATGATGCAGAGGCTGCATGGCCATCTGTCGGGAGGGCTTTGATTGTGTCTTTCCTGCCTGGTAGTAGCATAATGTTGTTGTTGTTACGAGGCAGTGGCTGCATGGCCATCTGTTGGGAGGGCTTTGATTGTCCCTTTCCTGCCTGGTAGAAGCATAATATTGTTGTTGTTGTTATGATGCAGAGGCTGCATGGCCATCTGTCAGGAGGGCTTTCATTGTGCCTTTCCTGCCTGGCAGAAGCATAATATTGTTGTTGTCGTTATGATGCAGAGACTGCATGGCCATCTGTCAGGAGGGCTTTGATTGTGCCTTTCCTGCCTGGCAGAAGCATAATACTGCTGCTATTGTTGTTATGATGCAGAGGTTGCATGGCCATCATTCGGGAGGGCTTTGATTATGCCTTTCCTGCCTGGCAGAAGCATAATATTGTTGTTGTTATGATGCAGAGACTGCATGGCCATCTGTCAGGAGGGCTTTGATTGCGCCTTTCCTACCTGGCAGTAGCATAATGTTGTTGTCGTTATGATGCAGAGGCTGCATGGCCATCTGTCGGGAGGGCTTTGATTGTGTCTCTCCTACTTAGCAGAAGTATTATTATTGTTATGATTATTAATATGCAGAGGGTGGATGGCCATCTGTCGGGAGGGCTTTGATTATTATTATTATTATTATTATTATTATTATTAATAATAATAATGACTTCCGGATCTTTTCTCTCTCATTCTTTCCAGATGGAAAATGCTCATTATCCTCCCCATCATTATTATATTGCCCTTTCTGATGTTTCTTTCTCTCCTTCCTTCCAAACCTTCGTCCTCTTTGCCCTCCTTTCTGATTTCCTTCGTTCTCTCCTTCCTTCCAGGCGGAAAGCGCTCCTCTGGGAAAAGGCTCCTCCTCCCTGTACCTCTTCTCCAAGGGATCCCTCACTTTGCAGTCGCAGCTCTTCCCATGGAAGAACGGATCCCTGGCCAAGAGGGGATCCCGTCGGAACTTGATCCCCGAAGGATCCGGAGAAGCGGAAAAAGTGGCCAGGGGGAGTAAGCTCTTCCACGGCCGCCTCCCGGACCCCGAAGACGGGCTGCTGCTCTTCCCGTCCTATTCAGGGCCTTCGGTCCGCTTCTGGAAACGCTGCTACCTTCGGGGGAACCCGGACGTTCCGGTACGTGGAACACAAACACACACTGGGAGAGGGGGGTGTCTACATGGTAGAATTAGCACACTTTGGCACCACTTTCGCTGCCAGGGCTCAATTCTACGCAGTCCTGGGAGTTATCGTTTTGCAAGGTCTTCTGCCTGCTCAGCCAGAAAGGAAAGAAAGAAGAAAAGGAAGGGGAAGAAAGGAAGGAAAAGGGATGTGAGGAAGGAAGAAAAAGAAGGGAAGGAAGGGAAAGGAAAGGGGGAAAGGTGATGATGGGTAGGAAGAAAAGGAAGGGATGAAAGAAGGCAGCGATGAAAGAAAAAGGAGGGAAGGGAACGGAAGGAAAGGAAGAAGGAATGAAGGAAAGCAGTGATTAATGAAAAAGGAAGGAAGAGGAAGAAAAGAAGGAAGGAAGGAAGGAAGGAAGGAAGGAAGGAAGGAAGGAAGGAAGGAAGGAAGGAAGGAGGAAGGGAGGAGGAGGGAGGGAGAAGAAAAAAAGAAGGAAGAGAAGGAAGGAAGAAGAAGAGGAAGAAGAAGGAAGGAAGATGAAGAGAAAAAGAGGAAAGAGGAAGGAGGAAGAAGGAGGAAGAAGGAAGGAAGGAAGGAGAGGATGAGGAAAAAGAAGGACGAGGAAGAAGGGAAGAGAAGAGAAGGAAGGAAGGAAAAGAAAAAGAAGGAAGAGGGAGGAAGAGAAGGAAAGAAGAAGGAAAGAAGGAAGGAAGGAGAGAAGAAGAGGGAAGAGGAAGAAGGAAGGAAAAGAGGGAAGAAGGAAAGGAAGGGAAGGAATGAAGGAGGAAGGAAGGAAGAAGGAAGGAAGGAAGCCAGGAGAAGGAAAAGAAAAGGGAAGAGGAGGAAGGGGAAGGAATGAAGGAAGGCAACGATGAAAGAAAAAGAAGGGAAGAGGAAGGAAGAGAAGGAATGAAGGAAGGAAAGAAGGAAGGAAGGCAGCGATGAAAGAAAATGAAGGGAAGAGGAAGGAAGGGAAGGAAGAAGGAAGGAAGGAAAGAAAGGATGGAGCAAGGCAGTGATGAAAGAAAAAGAAGGGAAGAGGAAGGAAAGCAAGAAGGAAGGAAGGAAAAAAAAGAAGGGATGAACGAAGGCAGTGATGAAAGAAAAAGAAGGGAAGATGAAGGAAAAGAAGAAAGAATGACTGAAGGAAGGAAGGAAAGAAAGAAGAGATGAAGGAAGGCAGCAATGAAAGTAAAAGAAGGGAAGAGGAAGGACGGAAAGGAAGAAGGGATGAAGGAGGGTAGCGATGAAAGAAAAAGAGGGGAAAAGGAAGAAAGGAAAGGAATGAAGGAAGGCAGCGATGAAAGAAAAGGAAGGGAAGAGGAAGAAAGGAAAGGAAAAGGATGGGAAGAAGGAAGAAAAAGAAGGGAAGGAAGCAAGGCAGTGATGAAAGAAAAAGAAGGGAAGAGGAAGGAAAAGAAGAAAGAATGACTGAAGGAAGGAAGGAAGGAAAGAAAGAAGGGATGAAGGAAGGCAGTGATGAAAGAAAAAGAAGGGAAAAAGGAAGGAAGGAAGGAAGGAAAAGAAGAAGGAGAAGGAAGGAGGATGAAAGAAAAAGAAGGGAAGAAAAAGAAAGAAAGAGGAAGGTGTTTGTGGGAAATGGAGGAAGGAAAGAAAGAGCCACAAAGAAAATGCAAAACTTAGGCAATGCTGGGTGTGTGTGTGTATGTATGTATGTATGTATGTATGTATGTATGTATGTATGTGTATATATATGTATGTATATGTATATATATGGATGCTTTCTGCATTGTGTGTGTTTTAATTCCAAGTGTTGCCTTTCTTTCCAGGCTGGGCTCTTTGCTTCATCGGTTGCCGAACTCATGGAAGAGCTCAATCTTCTTGAAGAGCAGCTCTTGGCGGGCAAGAAAGGGCTCCTGCACAGCCCTTGAAGGGGAGAAAGCACTCCTTACCACAACAACCACAACCACAACAACAACAACAAAAACTAGAAGTTATGGAGTTCGTTTTGCCATCCTAAGAAGGGGAAAAAAATACTCCAAACTATGCAGCATGGTGCAATTCTGCATTTCCTCATCTCCAAACTGGGATTGAACCCACTCTTCGTGTCTTCCCTTTTTGTGGATGTATAGATTTGCCGCTTTTAGATGATGCTATAGCTATATTCTACTCGTTGTTGTTGTTTTTCTTCCAATGACTATAAAGCTCTGTTTGGATCCGTCATTAATGTGGAAAGCAGTTGGGAAAGACCACATTGCAGATGAATTAAGCGTGCGTCCATCGACCACACGTGGTTCGTGAGCCAACAGCATGATGTGGCAGCTAAAAAGGCCAAGACGATTCTAAGCTGCATCAGGAAGAGTGGGATCGGGGGAAGCACACTTGGATCACTGGGAGTGTAATACCGCAGCTTGGGAACTTTGGATGTACTCACTCTGGTGCATAACAGAGCACAAGCGTGACCTCTTCAGCGCTTCGGACTTCGGAACGGCTGCAGGGAATTCGGAAGGCGCCTCCAAAATGTGCTGGTTGAAGAGAAGCAATAACCTTTCCATATATATATATATATATATATATATATATATATATATATATATGGCCCATTGTCATCACCAATTGAGAAAGATCCTTTAGCACTTTAATATGAACTTTTTCTTTGGGCACTTTTTACAGGCTGGAAAGAAAGAAAGAAAGAAAGAAAGAAAGAAAGAAAGAAAGAAAGAAAGAAAGAAAGAAAGAAAGAAAGAAGAAGGAAGGAAGGGGAAGGTAAGGCTGAAAGAAAGGAAAAGGAAATGAAAGGAAAAGAAGAAAGATAGGGAAAGGAAAGAAGGAAGGGAAAGGAAAGGAAGGAAGGAGGGAGGGAGGGAAGAAGGAAGAGGAGGGAGGGAGGAAGAAGGAGGAGGAGGGAAGGAAGGAAGGAGGGAGGAAGGAAGAAGGGAGAAGGAGGGGGAAGGAGGGAGGGAAGGAAGGAAGGAGGGAAGGAAGGAAGGAAGGAAGGAGGGAAGGAAGGAGGGAGGGAAGGAAGGAAGGAAGGAGGAAGGGAGGGAGGGAAAGAAGGAAGGAGGGGAGGGTGGAGGGAAAGAGGGAAGGAAGGAGGAAAAGAGGGAAGGAAGGAGGGAGAAAGGGAGGGAAGGAAGGAGGGAAGGAAGGAAGGAAAGAGGAGGGAAAGAGGGAAGGAAGGAAGATGAAGGGAAGGAGGGAAGGAAGGGCAGAGGGAAGGAATGAGGGAAGGAAGGAAGGAAAGGAAAAGGAGGAAAGAAGGGAAGGAATGAAAGGAAAGCAAGCTAGAAAGGAAGGAGGAAAAAGGAGGGAGGTAAGAATAGATGGATGAAAGGGAGGACATATATCCAATATTAGCCCTCCAAATCACCCCAAAGAGCTATGGGGTTATTTTCCCCATGTCTTAGGGACCCATGGGCCATTGTAGACCCCAAAAAGGCCATTGGCCAAACAGGAGCAACATCAGAAGCGCCTCTGACTTCCTTACTGTTTGGAGGGGGAAAAGCTCTGTCTTGGGTCTAAACGCATGGCGAGAATCCACTCCAGCGTTTGGGGACAAAACCAATTTTGTAAAATGGGATACAGCCCTCCCTCGTCTTCCTTGTGGGGCTGATGCAAGTACTGACTCCCAATATACTAAAACGGAAATTGGATGGAGAGAGAGACATTAACCTTTGTGGGATCTTTCATCCCAATGATGCATTCGATCACCCCGTAGCATGACTAGTGTTTGATGGGGGACAGGGAGAAGTTGCATGTGTCATTTGGGGTTCTGCAAGTACTTAATATGTTGTTTGTGTATATATGTGTGTGTGTGCTTTGGAAAAAATCCTGTTCTTCCAGCCTTCCTCTTAAAAGAGCACTTAATCTATAGCTATAAGGGGGTGGGGCATCCCTATAGTTCTGTTGGTCCCAAGCGTTGCCCTCCTTGCTGTAAAAAACTTGATGGGTCCTTTGCGTTTTCCTTTGCCTTACATAGCCCATCTGTAAATACATATGGTCAGGGGCCATTAAATGCTGCTTACTTACTGGACAGATTAGATAGATAGATAGATAGATAGATAGATAGATAGATAGATAGATAGATAGATAGATAGATAGACAGACAGACAGACAGATAGATAGATAGATAGAGATGGGTAGGAAGGTAGGTAGGTAGATAAATAGATAGGATGGATGAATGGATGGATGAATGGATAGGTGGACGGATGGATGGATGGACAGACAGACAGATAGAGTAGATAGGGTAGATGGCTGGCTGGATAGATGGATAGGATGGATGGAAGGATAGATAGGATGGACGGATGGGCAGACAGGATGGATGGGTGGTTGGGTGGACAGATGGAAGACAGATAGAGTAGATAGGGTGGCTGGCTGGCTGGATAGATGGATAGGATGGATGGATAGATGGATAGATAGATGCTTGGGTGCATTATTGAGTGGAGAAGTAATATGGATGGATGTGTAGATAGATGGATGGATGGATTGATGGATGGAAGGATGGATGGATGGAAGGATAGATGGATAGGATGGATGGGTGGGTGGGAGGGTGGGTGGGTGGATGGATGGATGGATGGATGGATAGATAGATAGATAGATAGATAGATAGATAGATAGATAGATAGATAGATAGATGATAGATAGATAGATAGATAGATAGATAGATAGATAGATAGATAGAGATAGATGGATGGATAGGATGGATGGATAGGATGAACGAATGGACAGGCAGACAGACAGGATGGATGGATGGACAGATAGATAGATAGATAGATAGATAGATAGATAGATAGATAGATAGATAGATAGATGATAGGAAGGATAGATGGATGGATAGATGGATGGGAAGGATGGACAGACAGTCAGGATGGATGGGTGGTTGGGTGGATGGATGGATGGACAGACAGACAGATAGAGTAGAAAGGGTGGATGGATGGATTGAATGGATAGATAGATAGATGCTTGGGTGTATTCTTGAGTGGAGAGTATGGATGGATGGATGGGAAGGATGGATGGATAGGATGGATAGATAGATAGACAGACAGACAGACAGACATAGGATGGATGGATGGATGGATGGATAGATAGACAGACAGACAGACAGGATGGATGGATGGATAGGATGGATAGATAGAGTGGATTAGGGTGGATGGATAGTGTGGATGGATAAATAGGATGGATAGGATGAGGGGATATGATAGGTGTATAGATAGGGTGGATGGATAGTTAGATATAGATATGATAGGTATGATGGCACTTGTCTATAGATCAGGCCGTGTCTGTATCCAACGTTCACGTTATAACATACACATAAGTGAGTAGCGAAATGACAAAAAGATATAGAAATACACTAGCGAAGGAAGGAAGGAAGGAAGGAAGGAAGGAAGGAAGGAAGGAAGGAAGGAAGGATAGATAGATAGATCGATCGATCCATCCAAGGCTGCATCCTCAGGCATAGAAACGGTACATTAAAAATTGATGCTGGAACCTAGGAATTTAATATCTCTCCCTCTCCATCTCTGTATATCAAGTTTGCTATTTTCCTTTGCTTTCCTTCTTGTTTTTGAGTGCCTGTGTATATATATATATATCTAATTCAGGGGAAATATAGTTCCTCTGGTGCTGTATAGACATTCCATGAGGAAGTTTTCATGCTGCTGTCAGAGTTTTTTTTTTTTAATTTGGTACGCTGTTTATAAGCTTTAGTCCAAGAGCCTTAAGCAAAGGAGGCACAAGTGGTTTATAGCTATACGAATAATAGAATAATAATAATGCAACATATGTTATTTCATAAGCTTTTGTTCAAGAGCCTTAAGCAAAGGAGGCACAAGTAGTTTAAAGCAGCAATAATAATAATAATAATAATAATAATAATAATAATGCAACATTTTTGTATGTTTATTTCATAAGCTCTAGCTTAGAAGCACAAACTGTTCGAAGTTTATTATTATTATACTATTAATTATTATTATTATTTATTATTATTATTACTATTAACCTCTCCGGGGTTGAGAAGAGCAGGGTATAAATACAGTAAATAAAATATTATTAGTCATCTCATAAGCTTTTGTTCAGGAGCCGTAAGAGAAGGACGCTAATAATAATAATAATAATAATTATTATTATTATTATTATCGTCCTTCTCTTACGACTCCTGAAAGAAAGCTTATGCAATAATAATAATAATAATTTCATACGCTTTCGTTCATTAGCTGTAAGAGAAGGAGGCTAATAATAATAATAATAATAATAATACAGCATCAACAATAACAAAATAAGAATAAAATAAATATGGCATACATTTGCTTGTGGTTACGAAATTAGGTAAATACTGCTCTCAGGTGCAATTGTAAATAGGATGGAAATAATAATTTTAGTTGCATATGTTTGGCTTGTTCTCAGCTTTGACAAATACTATATTGACAAATACATTATTGCTGGATTTGGTTTTCAAAATGTTCTTTATGGGATGGATTGCTGGTTTTTATTTGTATACATACATACATACACACATATATGCTTGTTCCCAATGTCTACCTTTGCACAGCACTTCGGATGGGAACTCTGTGCTGATTTTTACACGTTTCTTACGGCATGACGCACACGAGTAAAAACCCAGGTATCTTCCCCGCAACCTGTAATATAATTTTATATGGCAGGAGCTCCATTTCAGCCTCTATTATTTAAAAAATTCCAATGGCACTCTCTTTGTTTCTTGTCTTCGAGTAGCCATTTCAAAATAAATCAAAGAGAAACCCAATTTAAAAGGTTTTTCCTAAGTTCCCAAAAGGAAGATTTTATTGCGATTCAGCTGAAAAGGATGCAAAGCAGCAATATTTCGCCAAGCTGAGCATAACATGTGTACAAATAAAAGCCTTTTTTATACAGAAACAGAGTTGCCAGGTTTGAATCTCCCATTCCCCGCCCCTCTGCCGGCTTGACTGTGATTGGCTGGCGCCCTACAGCTGGGAGGAGGCTTGGACACCTCCTGAGCGCCTGGGCCAATCGCTGGGCCTCTGCCACCTCGGCGTCCTGACGAATCAGGAGAGAGGGAGGCAGGACGAGAAGGAAACAATGGATTCTTGAGGGGATTATGGAGGTAGGAAATGTCCATGCAGCCAGTGAGTCCTGGGGCCTGCGAGCCAGCCATTCCTATTGTCATTGAGTGGCTGCAATAAACATTGATGTTTGGCGATCCTGCCAAGATCTGGTTTTCTCCAGTGCGGAGATATGGGAACAATGGGGAACTTGGGCTGAAGTCTTTAGTGAAAGAAAAGTTGAATGGGTGACAGATTAGGACGAGGTGCGGCTTTCCGAAGGCCCCCTCCATCCTATTGAGATATGATCATAATTACCAAATGGCCGCTTCAGAGTTGGGGGGCCAACTCTGAGCCCAGAGGTCACGGTCCTTTGTTATTGTCCATGCAATTGTGTCTTTGATAAGGGTCTTTTTCAACTGAAGATTTCCTCCTTTCCAAGACCAGGGAGGGGTGGCTTCCTTGCATTTTTTATACATTTTTTCAATAAAGGGGAATTGGGCAAAAGGGTCAGGAAAAGGTCAGATACACAGGGAGGAATATAGAAATATAGAAATCATGATATAGAAATCATACCCACGTATCCCTCCCACCAGAGTCCCATAGAAGTTCAAGAGAGCACATAAGTGTAAAGGGAGGTGGTTTCTCAGTAATAAATGTACTACCTTCTGCTATATATGAAACACAGGGCATAAAATCTTGATTAAATGTACACACTCTCTAACATGGAAAGGGTCTTTGTTGTTGTTAGTGTCTTGGCATATTGACCAAGGCTTAACCCTTATTATCCAGTCTGGTGTCCTTGTCCTTAGCAAAACTAGAAGTTACTATCTTTTAGGGGGGGGGGGTCATGTTCGACTTCAGGAGGAATCCTTAGTTGGGAGGTGGGTGGGAGAAAGAGCTCTTGTCTGTCTGAGATAAGTGTGAATGTTGCAAGTGGCCACCTTGATTATCATCGAATGGCCTTGCAGCTTCAAAGCCTGGCTGCTTCCTGCAAGGGAGAATCCTTTGTTGGGAGGTGGGTGGGAGAAAGAACTCTTGCCTGTTTCAGGCAAGTGTGAATGCTGCAAGTGGCCAGCTTGATTAGCATCAAATGGCCTTGCAGCTTCAAAGCCTGGCTGCTTCCTGCAAAGGGAAATCCTTTGTTGGGAGGTGGGTGGGAGAAAGAACTCTTGTCTCTTCGAGGCAAGTGGTTGTTGCAAGTGGCCACCTTGAGTAGCATTGAATGGCCTTGCACCTTCAAAGCCTGGCTGCTGGGGGGAATCCTTTGTTGGGAGGTGTTAGCTGGCCCTGATTGTTTCCTGTCTGGAATTCCACTGTTTTTTAAGTGATTCTGTTTATTTACTGTCCTGATTTTAAGAGTTCTGGCAGCCAGAAAGAAAGAAAAAGAAGGGAAAGATATATGTGGGAAGGCAAAGGGAAGAAGCCTACATCATGGAAGCCAGTGAAAACAGACTCTCCTCTGCTTGCTGATCAGTTGAACAGCAACCCTAGGACTAACACTTCCGACCTCTCTGAAAATGGCGGCGGCGACGCGCGTATTTGCTTTTGCGCATGCGCACTTTTACTTTGCCTCCTCTTTCCTTTTAGTCGACGACGTTCCTGCTTTCCTCGCCCTCCTTGTTCCTCAAAACACACAAGAAACCGAGTGATTCATTTCATTCCTTTCCCCTTTTTGACAAAAACAGTCGACGCGGGTTTTATTTTGCCCGGGCTCAAGATGGCCGACGGTGTTTACATTCTTCTGGCCCTCAGAAAAGATCCACTTCCGGTCTAAAGCGGAAGTTGCCCTGAAATGGACAGAAAAAGGGTGTATTGGGCCCAAGATGGCTGCTTTGCCCTCACTTAGCGTCATTTCCGGCCTGGAACGGAAGTAGCCTTGCGTGGCGCTCTCCCGCCTCGACGCCGGGGAGTGTGGCATCCAAGATGGCGGCGGGGCCCATCTCTGAGCGGAACCAAGGTAAAGGAAGGGAGGAGGAGGCCTGTTTGAGAAGGCCCAACAGCCCCAATGGCCTCCGAACGTCCCTCAAAGGAAGGGGAGAGGGGGATATTAGGGTCTGGAGAGTCTCTTCTCTGGTTTAGGCGCTAATAATGGCGGCTAGGCCAAACTGGGAAGGGAAAGCTCCAGCATTTCTGGCCTGCCTTTCCATTTCCAGCCAGGGTTTGTGGCTCTGTTGCACAGGGGCTCGTTCCAGTAGAAATTAAGCAACGAATTAGTGGGTTGTTGTAGGTTTTTTCGGCCTATATGGCCATATTCTTGAGGCATTCTCTCCTGACGTTTCGCCTGCATCTATGGCAAGCATCCTCAGAGGTAGTGAGGTCTGTTGGAAGTAGGAAAATGGGTTTATATATCTGTGGAATGGCCAGGGTGGGACAAAGGACTCTTGTCTGCTGGAGCTAGGTGTGAATGTTTCAACTGACCACCTTGATTAGCATTTGATGGCTTGGCAGTGCCTGGGGCAATCTTTTGTTAAGAGGTGATTAGCTTTCCCTAATTGTTTCCAATTTTTTTTAATAGAGGTAGCCAGATTTAGTTCATTTTCATGGTTTCCTCCTTTTCTGTTGAAATTGTCCACATGCTTGTGGATTTCAATGGCTTCTCTGTGTAGTCTGACATGGTGGTTGTGAGACTGGTCCAAATTGACAGATTAGAGAGATGATGGGCCAAAACTAACAAAATGACAAATGCAAGATACTCCACTTTGGCAGAAAAAACAAAATGCAAAGATACAGAATGGGGACGATGCCTGGCTCGAGAGCAGTACGTGTGAAAAAGATCTTGGAGTCCTCGTGGACAACAAGTTAAACATGAGCCAACAATGTGATGTGGCGGCAAAAAAAGCCAATGGGATTTTGGCCTGCATCAATAGCATAGTGTCTAGATCTAAGGAAGTAATGCTACCCCTCTATTCTGCTTTGGTTAGACCACATCTGGAATATTGTGTCCAATTCTGGGCACCACAATTCAAGAGAGATATTGACAATCTGGAATGTGTCCAGAGGAGAGCGACTAAAATGATAAAAGGTCTGGAGAACAAGCCCTATGAGGAGCGGCTTAAGGAGCTGGGCATGGTTAGCCTGAAGAAGAGAAGGCTGAGAGGGGATATGATAGCCATGTATAAATATGTGAGAGGAAGCCACAGGGAGGAGGGAGCAAGCTTGTTTTCTGCTTCCCTGGAGACTAGGACGCGGAACAATGGCTTCAAACTACAAGAAAGGAGATTCCATCTGAACATGAGGAAGAACTTCCTGACTGTGAGAGCCGTTCAGCAGTGGAACTCTCTGCCCTGGAGTGTGGTGGAGGATCCTTCTTTGGAAGCTTTTAAACAGAGGCTGGATGGCCATCTGTCAGGGGTGATTTGAATGCAATATTCCTGCTTCTTGGCAAGGGTTGGACTGGATGGCCCATAAGGTCTCTTCCAACTCTTTGATTCTATGATTCTAACTGACCACCTTGATTAGCATTTGATAGCCTGGCAGTGCCTGGGGCAATCTTTTGTTGAGAGCTGATTAGCTTTCCCTGATTGTTTCCTCTCTGTTGTTTTGCTGTTGTAATTTTAGATTTTTTTTTAATGCTGGTAGCCAGATTTTGTTCATCTTCATGGTTTCCTCCTTTCTGTTGAAATTGTCCACATGCTTGTGGATTTCAATAGCTTCTCTGTGTCGTCTGACATGGTGGTTGTGAGAGTGGTCCAGCATTTATGTGTTCTCAAATAATATGCTGTGTCCAGGCTGGTTCATCAGGTGCTCTGCTATAGCTGACTTCTTCGGTTGACGTAGTCTGCCGTGCCTTCCATGTTCCTTGATTCGTATTTGGGCAATGCTGCGTTTGGGGGTCCCTATGTAGACTTGTCCACAGCTGCAAGGTACACGGTAGACTCCTGCAGAAGTGAGAGGATCCCTCTTGTCCTTTGCTGAACGGAGCATTTGTTGGATTTTCTTGGTGGGTCTGTAGATAGTTTGTATGTTGTGTTTCCTCATCAGTTTCCCTATGTGGTCAGTGGTTCCCTTGATGTCTGGCAAGAACACTTTTCCTCTGGGTGGATCTTCTTTATTCTTGTGGCTTGTTCTCGGTCTTGCAGCTCTTCTGATGTCTGAGGTGGAGTATCCATTGGCCTGGAGAGCCCAATTATTATCATTGTTTCAAGGCATTGAATGTTTCCCTGTGTCAGTACATGCTGGAATCAGTCCTGAGTCCCTCGGGGAGATAGAGCGGAATACAAATAAAGTGTTGTTATATTTATTATTATTTTTATTATTATTATTAATAGCCAAGAATTCTGGGAGTTGGAGGCCCAAACAGCTGGAGGACTGTTGTTTAAGGATGCCTGATCTAGAACTAGACTTAATTGATGCAGCCTAGGATCACATCAAAGTCAGCTTTAGGTCAAATATAACAGCAGCAAACAAGATTCATGAAGGCATTTGAGACTATAACTATTGTCCCCCTCCTATCTGCTGTAGATGCCACTGTGTATGTTGGCGGCCTGGATGAAAAAGTCAGCGAACCCCTCCTGTGGGAACTCTTCCTCCAAGCAGGACCAGTGGTTAACACTCACATGCCCAAAGACAGAGTCACGGGCCAACATCAAGGTAAGCAAGTCCAGCACCCTTTTTCAATGTGCTGTGTTATGAATGGAGTAAATCCACCAGCTCTTGGGCGTTAAGCAGGGGCAGCCCTGGTGAGTACTTGGATTGAAGGCTGCCAAGAAATCTCAAGTTCTGTAGCTGTATTTCAAAGGTAAAATCACCTCTGTGTATTCCTTGCCCAGGAAAACCCTCTGAAATTCATGGGGTTGTGATGAGTTGACAGGTAACTTGAAGACATACACAAACAAGATCCCTTCCCGTCAAATGCTGAAGACTGGACTTCCAGAGCATGGAAAAGAAGGCTACTTTTAGGACTGACACTACCAGGATCCCCTATTCAGATATGCTATTATAGTTGGGGATTTTGGGACTGGTAATCCAAAAAGAGGAACTTTCCCAAACACAGAATGACTTATTATTATTAACTAGCTGTCCCCTGCCAGGCGTTGCTGTGGCCCAATCTGATGATCTGGAAAATAAAGTAATGAGAAAGTGTTGGTTTCTAATATATGTAATTTCTTTCTGCTTGTGGGTAAACAGTATTTCTTGCTGTTTTTTTTGTCAGTGTTGATGTGGAGATTGTCTGGTTTGCCTACTCTGGAACATGGAAAATATTATTGTCCTTCTTTAGGGGTCCCTTTCAAATCTATGATACTATATCTGTGTGTGAAAATCATATCTATCTATCTATCTATATCTCTTTGTCAGGAGGGCTTTGATTACGTTTTCTTGCTCTCGTGAAGGGAGTTGGACTGGATGGCCATAAGTATTTTCTGTTGGTCATGTAGGTTCTGTGTGGAAATTTTGCCCCAATTCTATCATTCGTGGGGTTCAGCATGCTCTTTGATTGTAGGTGAACTATAAATCCCAGTAACTACAACTCCCAAATGTCAAGGTCTATTTCCCCCAAACTCCATCTGTGTTCATATTTGGCCATATGGAATATTCATGCCAATTTTGGTCCAGATCCATCATTGTTTGAGTCCACAGTGCTCTCTAGATGTAGGTGAAGTACAACTCCCAAACTCAAGGTCAGTGCCCACCAAACCCTTCTAGTGTTTTCTGTTGGTCATGGGAGTCCTATCTGCCAAGATTGGTTCAATTCCATCATTGGTGGGGTTCAAAATGCTCTTTGATTGTAGGTGAACTATAAATCCCAGCAACTACAACTCCCAAATGACAAACCCAATTTTTTTTCCACACTCGCATGTTGTGGATTCCACTTTGTGGCCGCATTTCTTGAGGTTGGCTCTGCATCTCGTGGTGCCAGAGCGCAGTCTGTTCAGTGCCTTCCAAGTCGCCTAGTCTTCTGTGTGCCCAGGGGGGAGTCTCTCATTTGGTATCAGCCATTGGTTGAGGTTCTGGGTTTGAGCCTGCCACTTTTGGACTCTTGCTTGCTGGGGTGTTCCACCGAGTGTCTCTGTAGATCTTAGAAAACTATTTCTTGATTTAAGTCGTTGACGTGTTGGCTGATACCCAAACACGGGATGAGCTGGAGATGTCTCTGCCTTGAAGGACATACATTGGGTTGTTAGGTGTCTTGTGTCCAAATTTGGTGTCAATTCCCCCAGTGGTTTTTGAGTTCTGTTAATCCCACAAACGAACATTACATTTTTATTTATATAGATAATATTATTAGTGTAAATGCACCCAAGTGTCTTTTAATTCTACTATAGTTAATAGACTGATAACCTTAAGCAGTGGCAAAATATAATATTTTTTTTAAAGAAGGAGATTTTTAAAACCAAGTTAGGAGGTGCTGTGGTTTTAGCTATAAACAGGTTTTAATCAGTTTTAATCTTTCACACCAGAAGCGACTTGCAGTTTCTCAAGTCGTTCCTGACACGACAAAAAAAATATCAGTTTTAATGGTTTTAACTCTTTATTTTTAATATTGTTAGTATTTAATTCTATTTTAATGTTTGTATAATTTTACGTTTTAAATTTTATTGTTGGTTTTCCTATAAACTACTTTGAAGTCCTTTTTAGAGAAAAAAAGCAGGTTTAAATATAAAAACACTAAAAAATAATAAAATAAGATTTGATCAGTGCAACGCTTGGCTTTGCCTCCCTTTCCAGGCTATGGCTTTGTGGAGTTCCTCAGCGAGGAGGACGCGGACTACGCCATCAAGATCATGAACATGATCAAGCTCTATGGGAAGCCCATCCGGGTCAACAAGGCCTCGGCCCACAACAAGAACCTGGATGTGGGGGCCAACATCTTCATTGGCAACCTGGACCCCGAGATCGACGAGAAGCTCCTGTACGACACCTTCAGCGCCTTCGGGGTCATCCTGCAGACCCCCAAGATCATGCGGGACCCCGACACGGGCAATTCCAAGGGCTACGCCTTCATCAACTTCGCCAGCTTCGACGCCTCGGATGCCGCCATCGAGGCCATGAACGGGCAGTACCTTTGCAACCGCCCCATCACCGTCTCCTATGCCTTCAAGAAGGACTCCAAGGGCGAGAGGCATGGCTCAGCCGCCGAGCGTCTCCTGGCTGCCCAGAACCCACTTTCTCAAGCTGACCGGCCCCATCAGCTCTTTGCAGATGCTCCTCCCCCTCCATCCGTGCCAACCCCAGTTGTTACCACCTTGGGGCCTGGCGTTACCCCACCAGGTATGATTATTATAATAATAATTTGTTGTTGTTGTTGACTTTATTTATTTCTGGCATTAATTCCATGGTTTGGGCCTGAGAAGCTCACATATTAAAATGTTGACAATGTTATTAAATACATACATTAAAAAAATTATAAAATTAATATTGAATCATTAACCTTATAAAAAAAACCCTAAGTCATACCCCATCAAGCTTTAAAGTTCAATAGCTGTTCAGCAGTGGAATCTGATATTCATTGGTTAAGCAGAACTGATCTTTATTTAAACAGTACAGCTTTAGGAATAATAATAATAATTATTATTATAATCTGGCTAGTTATAGGGAGCGCTCGACTCCCATGTTTAAGGAGCTCCACTGGCTGCCTTTTAGTTTCCAGTCCCAATTCAAGCTACAGGTCATCACCTACAAAGCCCTAAACCAGTAGTTCTCAACCTGGGGGTCGGGACCCCTGGAGGAGTTGTGAGGGGGTGTCAGAGGGGTCGCCAAAGACCATCACAGACAGTAATTTCTGTTGGTCTGTGTGGGAAGTTTGGCCTAATTCTATCGTTGGTGGGCTTCTGAATGCTCTTTGGTTGTAGGTAAACTATAAATCCCAGCAACTACAACTCCCAAATGTCAAGGTCTATTTTCCTCGAACTTCACCAGTGTTCACATTTGGGCATATTGAATATTCGTGCCAAGTTTGATCCAGATCCATCATTGTTGCATCCACAGTGCTCTCTGGATGTAGGTGAACTACAACTCCAAAACTCAAGGTCAATGTCCACCAAACCCTTCCAGTATTTTCTGTTGGTCATGGGAGTTCTGTGTGCAAAGTTTGGTTCAATTCCATCATTTGGTGGAGTTCAGAATGCTCTTTGATTGTAGGTGAACTATAAATCCCAGCAACTACAACTCCCAAATGACAAAATCAATCCCACCCAACCCCACCAGTATTAAAATTTGGGCATATCGGGTATTTGTGCCAAATTTGGTCCAGTGAATGAAAATACATCCTGCATATCAGATATTTACATAACGATTCATAACAGTAGCAAAATTACAATTATGAAGTAGCAACGAAAATAATTTAATGGCTGGGGGTCACTACAACATGAGGAACTGTATTAAGGGGTCGCGGCTTTAGGAATGTTGAGACCCACTGCAAAACTGTTTGGGCCCCCCTACCTTCGTGACTGCATCTCTCTCCATGTACCAACCTGTGCCCTTCGATCTTCGGGGGAGGTCCTCCTTTCACCCCTACCAATCTCACGAGCCCGTCTTGTGGGAACAAGAGAGAGAGCCTTCTCCTCTGTGGCTCCCCGACTTTGGAACTCTTTACCTGGAGAGATCAGGAAAGCCCCTTCATTAGAAATGTTTAAAAAGAACCTTAAAACCTGGCTCTTCCGCTGCGCCTTTGGTGAGTAGGTGCATACCATGACATTTTGCACCCCTCAACGTTTTTGCTACTGGAGCTTGCGCCCCACAAATGGGAAGTTTAGCCTCACAACTCTATGTATTTTATGAGGTCCCATAAATGTTCTGCTCCTATTTTATCTCATTTCAGTCTTTTAATTGTTTTTATCCTGTTGAGAGGTATTTCAATGGCTTCTCATTTCTTCATTTGGAAGTTGTAACCACAACCACCATGTCAGACTACACAGAGAAGCCATTGAAATACACAAGCATGTGGACAATTTCAACAGAAAGGAGGAAACCATGAAAATGAACAAAATCTGGCTACCAGTATTAAAAAACTCTAAAATTACAACAGCAAAACAACAGAGAGGAAACAAACAAGGACGTCTAATCACCTCTCAACAAAAGTTTGCTCCAGGCAGTGCCAAGCCATCAAATGCTAATCAAGGTGATCTGTTGAAACATTCACACCTAGCTCCAGCAGACCACACTCCGGGGCAGAGAGTTCCACTGCTGAACGGCTCTCACAGTCAGGAAGTTCTTCCTTGTGTTCAGATGGAATCTCCTCTCTTGTAGTTTGAAGCCATTGTTCCGTGTCCTAGTCTCCAAGGAAGCAGAAAACAAGCTTGCTCCCTCCTCCCTGTGGCTTCCTCTCACATATTTATACATGGCTATCATATCCCCTCTCAGCCTTCTCTTCTTCAGGCTAAACATGCCCAGCTCCTTAAGCCGCTCCTCATAGGGCTTGTTCTCCATACCTTTTATCATTTTAGTCGCTCTCCTCTGGACACATTCCAGCTTGTCAATATCTCTCTTGAATTGTGGTGCCCAGAATTGGACACAATATTCCATGTGGTCTAACCAAAGCAGAATAGAGGGGTAGCATTACTTCCTTAGATCTAGACACTATGCTCCTATTGATGCAGGCCAAAATCCCATTGGCTTTTTTTTGCCGCCACATCACATTGTTGGCTCATGTTTAACTTGTTGTCCACGAGGACTCCAAGATCTTTTTCACACGTACTGCTCTCGAGCCAGGCATCCCCCATTCTGTATCTTTGCATTTTGTTTTTTCTGCCAAAGTGGAGTATCTTGCATTTGTCATTTTGTTAGTTTTGGCCCATCATCTCTCTAATCTGTCAATTTGGACCAGTCTCACAACCACCATGTCAGACTACACAGAGAAGCCATTGAAATCCACAAGCATGTGGACAATTTCAACAGAAAAGGAGGAAACCATGAAAATGAACTAAATCTGGCTACCTCTATTAAAAAAAAACCTCTAAAATTACAATAGCAAAACAACAGAGTGGAAACAATTAGGGAAAGCTAATCACCTCTTAACAAAAGATTGCCCCAGGCACTGCCAAGCCATCAAATGCTAATCAATGTGGTCAGTTGAAACATTCACACCTAGCTCCAGCAGACAAGAGTCCTTTGTCCCACCCTGGTCATTCCACAGATATATAAACCCATTTTCCTACTTCCAACAGACCTCACTACCTCTGAGGATGCTTGCCATAGATGCAGGTGAAACGTCAGGAGAGAATGCCTCTAGAATATGGCCATATAGGCCGAAAAAACCTACAACAACCCAGTGATTTCAGCCATGAAAGCCTTCGACAATACAAACCTATCCCTCTTGGGAGACCTTCCCTTAAAACCTTCAGCTCTGAAAACTGGTCTGAAGAAAACAAATCCTTGCAAAAGACTCCCTCGTCCCCGCTTGTTTAGTTGGGTGTGATGTTCCAGCTTCCTGTGACTCCGCAATGACATCTGCCTTGTCCCAGGAGTCTTTGCCTGCTAGTGATTTGGTTGCTTCACAGAGTTTAATGAAATTGCTGTTAATTGAATGTGAGAAGCTGTTGGAAAATGCAATGTGCTTGCTAAGTTTAAAATCAACACTGTGAGCGGTAGAGCGAGCTGTTAAAGCGCAGCATGCTTTATAGGATTTTAGCTATAAATAGCTAAATTTATTTACGCCATTTATATGCTGCCCTTCTCACCTATAAGGGAACTCAGAGTGGCTTACAAGTTATATGTACATACAATATATTATGTTATTAGCATAGCACAATATTAGTATTAAATATGATTAAATATAAAATATAAAATTGTATTATATTGTATTATTATTAGTATTATATTGTATTACATTATAATAATATCTATATTATATGTGCATACAATATATTATATTACTAACACAGCACAATGTTAGTATTATATATTACTATATTGTACAAAAATGCTATAAGGTAGTATTATTAGTAATATTACATGTAATATAAAAGATATAATTATTATATTGTATTATTGGTAGTAGTATATTGTATTACATTATAATAATATCAATATTATATGTGCATACCATATATTATATTATTAGCACAGCACAATATTAGTATTATATATTACTATATTGTACAAAAACACTGTAAGGTAGTATTATTAGTAATATTATATGTAATATAAAAGATATTATTATATTGTATTATTATTATTAGTAGTAGTATATAGTATTACATTATAATATTATGAGTATTATATGTGTATACCATATTTTATATAATTAGTACAGCTCAATATTAGCATTATATATTACTATATTGTACAAAACCACTATATGGTAATATTATTAGTAATATTACATGTAATATAAAATATATAATTATTATATTGTATTATTAGTACTATTATATTGTATTACATTATAATATTATCAATATTATATGTGTATACCATACATTGTATTATTAGCACTGCACAATATTAGCATTATATTGTACAAAAACGCTATCAGGTAGTATTATTAGTAATATTATATGTAATATAAAAGATATTATTATATTGTATTATTATTATGAGTAGTATATTGTATTACATTATAATAATATCAATATTGTATGTGTATACAATATATTATATTATTAGCACAGTACAATATTAGTATTATATATTGCTATATTGTACAAAACCACTATATGGTAATATTATTAGTAATATTACATGTAATATAAAAATTATTATATTGTATTATTAGTAGTATTATATTGTGTTACGTTATAATATTATCAATATTATATGTGTATACCATATATTATATTATTAGCACAGCACAATATTAGTATTATATACTACTATATTGTACAAAACCACTATATGGTAATATTATTAGTAATATTATATGTAATATTAAAGATATAATTATTATATTGTAATATTATTAGTAGTATATTGTATTACATTATAATAATATCAATATTATATGTATATACCATATATTATATTACATTATTAGCACAGCACAATATTAATATTGTATATTACTATATTGTTGCTGGGGTGAGGGGGTCCCAACTGATGACCCCCAACTGATAAAAAACATAACTGACAACTTATGAAATGATGCCATAAGGAAGAGGGGGTGGGCTTGTTTTCTGCTGTCCTGGAGACTAGGACTTGGTGCAAAGGGTTCAAATGACAGGAAAGAACATTAAGAAGAGCTTCCTGATCATAAGAACTGTTCAATGGTGGAGCTTACTGTCACCGAGTGTGGTGGATCCTCCTTTGGAGGCTTTTAAGCAGAGGCTGGCCATCTGTTGGGAGTGTTTTGATTGTGCATGGCAAAAGGGATTGGACTGGATGGCCTGTGAATGTAAAACTTAATTTGAATAAAACAGGGAACAGACTGAATGCTAAGCCACACGTGATGATCTTTGTAATAGACCTGTGTGTGAGAGACAGACTTTTGAACCAAAATAGTCCAGCCCTGAGTGATAAATCCTCTGCCTTCTCTCCCACAGGGATCCCGCCGCCTGGTTCGTTCCCTCCACCGGTGCCCCCGCCAGGAGCCATGCCCCCAGGAATGCCTCCAGCCATGCCGCCCCCACCTATGCCGCCCGGCGCCGGAGCCCCAGGACCACCCTCCGGAGGCGCTCCTGGAGCAGCCCATCCTCCCCACCCACACCCTTTCCCTCCCAGCGGGATGCATCCAGGTGAGTTCTCTCTCGTGGACAGCCTTTGCCCTTTGGACAGGAGATCATTGGTCGAGGAGGGGATATTTACAATTACAATTAGCCCTCCACATTCACTAGTATTAGAGGCACAGCATCCCCATGAATGTGAAAAACTGCAAAAGAACAAAACCACATATTGGTTGAACTTCACGGCCTATGAAGTGGAAGAAGTTCAGTGGTTATGTGACCAAGCGTTCAGACAGCAATGTTTTTAGTGCAATAAGAGTATAAGGAATTGTGAATGAGCCAACTGAACGACTAAGGATTTGATTTTGGTTGGCGTAATTTTAATTGTGTTGTTAGTGGGTGGGTTTTAATATAAATGTTATTGTATTATTGATATTTTAATTTGATGTTTATGTTCAAATGTCATTCCATGTTTTATGTTTTATGTGATTAGGTTTTTAACTTATATGTTATTGTCTAGTTATATGTCTTGGTTTTCACATGTAGACTGCAGACCTGAGATGTAGTCTATAACGTGTGTGTTTGAAGGACGTCAAGGGGTCTTATGAATCTAGAATACTGTAGACCTGAGATGTGGTGTCTCTGAGGTGTATGTTTGAAGGGCCTCATGGCATCTTATGAATCCAGAATTCTGTAGACCTGAGAGGTGGAGTCTCTGTCATTTGTGTTTGAAGGGCCTCAAGGAGTCTTATGAATCTAGAATTTTGTAGACCTGAGAGGTGAGTTTCGGTCGTGTGTGTTTGAAGGGCCTCAAGGAGTCTTATGAATCTAGAATTCCATAGACCACAGACCTAAGATGTGGAGTCTCTGATGTGTGTGTTTGAAGGGTCTCAAGGAGTCTTATGAATCTAGAATCCATAGACCTGAGATGTGGAGTCTCTCAAGTGTGTGTCTGAAGGGCCTTAAAGTGTCTTATGAATCTAGAATTCCATAGACTGCAGACCTAAGATGTGGAGTCTCTGATGGGTGTCCTTGAAAGACCTCAAAGCATCTTACTATTCCAGAATTCCATAGACTGCAGACCTAAGATGGGGAGTCTCTGCCGTGTGTGTTTGAAGAGCCTCAAGGAGTCTTATGAATCTAGAATACCATAGACCTGAGATGTGGAGTCTCTGTCGTGTGTGTTTGAAGGTCTTCTATGGGTCTTATAAATCTAGAATTCTGTAGACCTCAGATGTAATCTCTGACGTGTGTGTTTGAAGAGCCTTAAGGAGTCTTATGAATCTAGAATTCAGTAGACCTGAGAGGTGGAGTCTCTGTCGTGTGTGTTTGAAGGGCCTCAAAGAGTCTTATGAATCTAGAATTCAGTAGACCTGAGAGGTGGAGTCTCTGTCGTGTGTGTTTGAAGAGCCTCAAGGAGTCTTATGAATCTAGAATTCAGTAGACCTGAGAGGTGGAGTCCCTGACATGTGTTTGAAGGGCCTTAAGGCATCTTATAAATCTAGAATTTTGTAGAATGAGATGTTGAGTCTCTGACGTGTGTGTTTGAAGGGCTTCTATGGGTCTTATGAATCTAGAGTTCCATAGACCTGAGATGTGGAGTCTCTGACATGTTTGAAGGGCCTCAAGGGGTCTTATGAATCTAGAATCCCATAGACCTGAGATGTGGAGTCTCTAATGTGTGTGTTTGAAGGGTCTCAAGGAGTCTTGTGAATCTAGAATTCCGTAGACCTGAGATGTGGAGTCTGATGTGTGTGTTTGTGCTGCATTTCCAGGGATGCCCCAGATGCAGGTTCACCACGGGATGCCCGGAATGGGGCCGCATCATCCAGGTCCCCCTGGAGCTGGGGGCCAGCCACCCCCTCGCCCTCCTCCTGGAATGCCTCACCCTGGGCCACCCCCCATGGGAATGCCGCCCAGGGGGCCTCACTTCGGTTCGCCGATGGGTAAGTGAAGCAATGGCCTCAAACTATAGGAAAGGAGATTCCACCTGAACATTTATTTGCTTTATTTCTATACCGCATTTTTCAGCCAAACAGGCGACTCAATGCGGTTTAGGCGACTCAATGCGGTTGAGTCAGGAAGAACTTGTTGTTGTTGGGAGGTGTTAGCTGGCCCTGATTGATTCTTGTCTGGAATTGCATTACTTTTTGAGTGTTGCTCTTTATTTACTGTCCTGATTTTAGAGTTTTTTAAAAATACTGTTAGCCAGATTTTGTTCATTTTCACTCAAAAAGCAGGGTTCCTCTGAACAAATGATTACCCCCAAGCAGCCAGGCTTTGAAGCTGCAAGGCCATTAAATACTATTCAAGATGGCAATTTGCAACACCAACAGACAAGAGTTCTTCCTCCCACCCTGGACACTCCACAGATAAATAAACCTCACTTGCCTAGTTTCCAAGAGACCCCTCAATCTCTGGGGATGCCTGCCATAGATGGGGGGAAAATGTCAGGAGAGAATGCTTCTGGAACATGGCCATTCAGCCCGGAAAACTCACAGCAACCCAGTACAGTAATAATTACTATATTTATTTATACTGAGCTTTGGGTATGAATCAAAAAAGAAAGATAATAATAATAATAAGTCAATAATTAATATTTGGCTTTGGGTCTCAATCAAGAGAGAAAAGCTAATAATTATAGTAGTAAGTAAATTATTATTATTTACTTTGGGTCTCAACCAAGAGAGTAGTAGTAGTAGTAATAATAATAATAATAATAATAATAATAATAATGTCTATTATTATTATTATTAATATCTCGCTTTAGGTCTCAATCAAGAGAGAAAAGCTAATAATTATAGTAGTAAGTAAATTATTATTATTTTCTTTGGGTCTCAACCAAGAGAGTAATAATAATAATAATAATAATAATAATAATAATAATAATAATGTCTATTATTATTATTAATATCTCGCTTTAGGTCTCAATCAAGAGAGAAAAGCTAATAATTATAGTAGTAAGTAAATTATTATTATTTTCTTTGGGTCTCAACCAAGAGAGAAAAGCTAATAATTATAGTAGTAAGTAAATTATTATTATTTAGCTATGGTTCTCAACCAGGAGAGTCATAACAATAATAATAATAATGATAATAATGTCTATTATTATTATTAATATCTCGCTTTAGGTCTCAATCAAGAGAGAAAAGCTAGTAATTGTAGTAAGTAAATTATTATTATTATTTAGCTATTGGTCTCAACCAAGGGAGCAATAATAATAATAATAATAATAATGCCAGACAGCCCAGAAAACTCACAGCAACCCAGTGATTCTGGCCATGAAAACCTTTGACAACACATTATTATATTTATTTGTATTCCACTTTTATTTCTCTGATTGAGATGCAAAGCGGCTCATAGCAATTACAAAACAACATAAAGAGAGCTTTTCCCATATGTTAAGGAAAGAGTGGGGCATTAGAGAGGTTTTGCCAGACAGTCCAGAAAACTCACAGCAACCCAGTGATTCCGGCCATGAAAACCTTTGACAACACATTATTATATTATTTGTATCCCACTTTTATTTCTCTGATAGAGATGCAAAACATCTCATAGCAATTAAACAACACAAAGAGAGCATTCCCCATATGTTGAGGAAAGAGTGGGGCATTAGAGAGGTTTTACCGTCCTTCCGCAGGCTTGGAGGTCCCTTCTGTGTTGCTGTTGTTGTCTTAACGCCTCTGCCTCTTCTTTCCCCAGGTCACCCTGGCCCCATGCCGCCCCACGGGATGCGGGGCCCTCCTCCCTTGATGCCGCCCCATGGCTACAACGGCCCCCCTCGCCCCCCTCCTTACGGCTACCAGCGAATCCCTCTCCCGCCACGTCCCGCCCAGAGACCCATGGTGCCTCCACGGGGGCCCATGCGGGGCCCGCTGCCCCCTTAGGACCCCCACAAGGAACCTCCTCCGCTCTCCGTCTTTCTGTTTTTCTCTTTGGACAAACATTCCAGCAAGTCGTGTCTTGCTTCCCAGTCTATGCAGGGAAAAAAAAACCTGGTTTTGCTCCTCTAGTATTATTATTTGTTTACCTTTTTAGCTTTTTAGTGCCCTTGCTTCATGGAACGGGTTTTTAGATCCCCCCCCCCCTCTTTATTTTATGTCTCCGAATTCTTCGTGAAACTCAACGTAGACAATAAATAAAGGATGGGAAGATTCCTCTCCGAAGCGTCTGTTTCAAAAATAATTTTTGGTCCTTTTTTTAGCACCGCCGTCCTCTTGTTTCCATCCTCTTTGGTCCCCTAAGGAAGGAACAGCAAGTACAAAACTCACTCCAGCCTACGGCAATTCCATAATTAGATCTTTAAGCATTGTATTTGCGATTGTATAATATGGAATTTGATATTCTAAGGATCTTATCTTGACACAAATGTTGGTGGTCTTTACCTTTCACATTTCTGGTCGCTTCTGGAGTGAGAGAATCAGCCGTCTATGAAGAAGTTGCCCAGAGGACACTCAGATGTCTTGCAATCCTGCAAGGAGGCTTCTCTCGTGTCCCCTGCTGTAGCTGATGAACAATTGCACTGCATCCTGTCAGATCCCCAAAATATGGAGGAAAGCAAGAGTCATCGCCTTCCTGAAGCCACGCAAAGACCACAATGATCCAAAAAGCTATAGACCAATCTCCCTGCTGTGACACCTCTACAAAGTCCTGGAGGGACTTATTTTGCATAGAATTATGGAAAAAAATAGACCCCTGTCTGATTCCACAGCAAGCTGGCTTCAGGAAAAGCAAAAGCTGCACATCTCAAGTGCTGAACCTGACTCAGCACATAGAAGATGGCTTTGAAAGGCAGCAGATCACAGGAGCTGTCTTCATAGACCTGTCAGCAGCCTATGATACTGTGAGCCACCGCCTCCTCCTGAGAAAAATGTATAGTATCACAAAGGACGACCACCTCACCCGCCTCATAGGAAACCGCTACAAAACAGGAGCTTCTTTGTTGAGTCCCAGGGCCAGAGAAGCAGATGGCGGAAACAAAAGAACAGCCTGCCTCAGGCGAGTGTGCTTGCTCCATCCATGTTCAACATCTACACAAATGACCAGCCACTGCCAGAAGGGACAGAGAACTTCATCTATGCTGATGATCGTGCCATTACTGCTCAAGCAGGGAGCTTTGAGATGGTTGAACAGAAGCTCTCCGAAGCTCTAGGTGCTCTTACTGCCTATTACAGGGAAAACCAGCTGATCCCTAATCCATCTAAAACACAGACATGTGCCTTTCACCTTAAGAACAGACAAGCATCCCGAGCTCTGAGGATGACCTGGGAAGGAATCCCACTGGAGCATTGCAGCGCACCCAAATACCTGGGAGTCACTCTGGACCGTGCTCTGACCTACAAGAAGCACTGCCTGAACATCAAACAAAAAGTGGGTGCTAGAAACAATATCATACGAAAGCTGACTGGCACAACCTGGGGATCACAACCAGACACAGTGAAGACATCTGCCCATGCCCAGTGTGGAACACATCTCACCACACTAAAACAGTGGATGCGGCTCTTAATGAGACATGGCGTGTCTGCGCCCTACACCACTGGAGAAATTACACTGCTTAGCCGGTATTGCACCACCTGACATCCGCCGGGAAGTAGCAGCCAATAGTGAAAGGACCAAGGCAGAGACATCTCCAGCTCATCCCCTGTTTGGGTATCAGCCAGCACGTCAACGATAAATAGTTTTCTAAGATCGAGTCCAATGTTTTCTAAGAACAAGTCCAATGTTCTGTTGACAATGATGTGCCATGGAAATCAGGAGGACTTTTTCATCAGACAATCAAGGACATCTAATCACCTCTCAACAAAAGATTGCCCCCAGGCACTGCCAGGCCATCAAATGCTAATCAATGAAACATTCACATCTCACTCCAGCAGGCAAGAGTTCTTTGTCCCACCCTGGTCATTCCACAGATATATAAACCCATTTTCCTAGTTCCAACAGACCTTGCTACCTCTGAGGATGCTTGCCATAGATGCAGGCAAAACGTTAGGAGAGAATGCCTCTAGAACATGGCCATATAGCCCAAAAAAACCGACAACAACCCAGTGATTCTGGCTGGAGGGAGGTTTGCACCAGTGAGTCTTTTTGAGGCATGGGAGTTCTGTGTGCCAAGTTTGGCTCAATTCTATCATTTGTGGGGTTCAGAATGCTCTTTGATTGTAGGTGAACTATACATTCCAGCAACTACAACTCCCAAATGTCAATGTGTATTTTTCCCAAACACCACCAGTGTCCACATTGGGGCAGATTGGGTATTTGTGCCAAGTTTGGTCCAGATCCATCATTGTTTGAGTCCACAGGGATCTCTGGATGTAGGAGAACTACAACTCCAAAACTCGACTGGATCCAGGAACAGGAGAACTCAGGCTTAGCTTCCCACTCAAACACAGTGTTGCCTGAACTAACTTTAAGGTATAGAACTTGTTGCTTGAGTCCACAGTGCTCTCTGGATGTAGGTGAACTACAATTCCAAAACTCAAAGTCAATGCCCAGGAAACACTTCCAGTGTTTTTTATGGGTCATGGGAGTTCTGTGTGCCAAGTTTGGTTCAATTGTATTGGTGGAGTTTAGAATGCTCTTTGAATGTAGGTGAAGTATAAATCCCAGCAACCACAACTCCCAAATATCATGGTCTATTTTCCCCAAACCCACCAGGGTTCACATTGGGACATATTGAGTATTAGTGCGAAGTTTGGTCCAGATCCATCATTATTTGAGTCCACAGGGCTCCCTGGATGTAGGTGAACTACAACTCCCAAACTCAAGGTCAATGCCCAGCAAACCCTTCCAGTATTTTCTGTTGATCATGTGAGTTCTGTGTGCCAAGTTTGGTTCAATTGCATCGTTGGTGGAGTTGAAAATGCTCTTTGATTGTCGGTGAACTATAAATCCCAGCAATCACAACTCCCAAATATGGTCTATTTTCCCCAAACCCCACCAGGATTCACATTGGGACATATTTAGTATTTGTGTCAAGTTTGGTCCAGATCCATCATTGTTTGAGTCCACAGTGCTCCCTGGATGTAGGAGAACTACAACTCCAAAACTCAACTGGAACCAGGAACTCAGGCTTAGCTTCTCTTAACGCAGTGTTGTCTGAACTGACTTTGAAGTATAGAACTTGTTGCTTAATAGTTCTTAATGGTCAATGCTCATCAAATCCTTCCAATGTTTTCTGTTAGTCATGGGAGTTCTGTGTGCCAAATTTGGTTCAATTCCATCAGTGGAGTTCAGAATGCTCTTTGAGTCCACAGTGCTCTCTGGATGTAGGTGAACTACAACTCTCAAACTCAAGGCCAGTGCCCACCAAACCCGTTAGTCATGTTAGTCATGGGAGTTCTGTATGCCAAGTTTGGTTCAATTCCATCATTGCTGGAGTTCAGAATGCTCTTTGGTTGTAGGGGAACTATAAATCCCAGCAACTACAACTCCCAAATGTCAAGTCTATTTTCCCCAAACTCCACCAGTGCTCACATTTGGGCATATTGAGTATTCATGCCAAGATTGGTCCAGATCCAACATTGTTTGAGTCCACAGTGCTCTCTGGATGTAGGAGAACTACAACTCTCAATCTCAAGGTCAACGTCAATACGATTCTAGGCTACGCAGAGGCGGCCCTAGGTAATTTTCAACGGTAAGCAAACAGTATTTTGCCCCCCCCCCCCAACCAATCACTGATATATATTTTCTGTTTGTCGTGGGAGTTCTGTGTGCCATATTTGGTTCAATTCCATCATTGGTGGAGTTCAGAATGCTCTTTGATTGTAGGTGAACTATACATCCCAGTAACTACAACTCGCATATGTCAAGGTCTATTTTCTCCCAAGAGCGCCTCAAGAGCACCCCTGGGCAAAATCAACTATACTACAAATGCTTACTTTGCGTAATGGGTTGAGCTGCCCCTGTTCTCACTTTAACGCAGTGTTGCCTGAACTGACTTTAAGGGATAGAACTTGCTGCTTAATAGTTCTTAATAGTCAATGCTCACCAAATGTCAGGGTCTATTTTCCCCAAACTCCACCAGTGTTCACATTGGGGCTTATTGAGTATTTGTGCCAAGTTTGGTCCAGATCCATCCTTACTCTGTGCTCTCAGGCTGTAATCCCCCAAAAGTAACTTTTCTAGGCTCTCCAATATGCCGCTCATTGTTCCTGAATTCCTGCTGTATCCGCTCACTTAAGTTTTCCGATTCGTTTCATTCCCCGTGGCGGATGTTTTCGTCACCTCTACCTATTTCGCAATAATAATGAAAGGAAAAGAGATCATTATAAAGTACTAGCTTTACCCGCCACACGTTGCTGTGGCCAACCTTCTCTCCCTCTTTCTCTCCTTCTTTCAGTCCTTCCTTCATTTCCTTTTCTTCTTTCCTTTCTTCCTTCTCTACCTGTTTACTTCCTTCCTTAGCTTTTTGCTCCCATCCTTCCTTCTCTTTGTTTCTTTCCTTCCCTCCCTCTTCCTTCTTTCTCTCCTCCTTTGCTCTCTTTCCTCCCTTCACTTTTTTCTTTCCTTCTCTCCCTCCTTCTTTCCTTCTTTCCTCCCCTTTTTCTTTTCCTTCCTCTTTCTCTTCTTCCTCTCTTCTTTCCTCTTTTCTCTTCCAGTCTTACTTAGTAAGGGGTCTTTTTCCTTCCCCTTTCTCCCCCTTTTACCTCTATTCCCCTTCCCAAATTCCCCTTCCTGCCCGTAACTGTAATTCTCTTCCTTCCTTCCTTCCTTTTGACACCTTCTTCCCCTTCCCTTTCTTCTTTTCTCTTCTTCCTTTCCTTCTTCCTTTCTCCCTTCTTCCATCCTTCTCTCTCTGTATTCTTTCTTTCCTACCTTTCTTCTTTCTTCACCTTCTCCTTCTCCTTCCTTCCTTCCTTCCTTCCTTTCCTTTCCTTCCTTCCTTCCTTTCTCCGTTCTTTCCCATCCTCCTTCTCTCCCTTTCTTCTTTCTTTCCTTCCTTTATTCTTTCATATATCTTCTCAACTTCTCCTTCCTTACTTCCTTCATACACCTTCCCTTCCCTCCTTTCTTCTTCCTTCCTTCCTTCTTTCCTTCCTTCTCTTTCTTCTTCCTTTTCTTCCTTTCTTTCTTTCCTTCTCTAACTTTCCTTCCTTCCCCTTTTTTTCCCTCCCTCTTTCCCTCCTCCTTCCTTCTTCTTCCTTCCTCTCTTTCCTTCTTCTTCCTC